CTGTGTATACAATAAAAATTTAAAAAAGTAATAACCTTTTAAAACAAACCAAGGTTGGGGAGTTGTCTTAAATGTAAAGGGCAAGGAAGAACTCTCAAACAATAGTTTCTTTATTGCTATTACCAGTTGGAATTGCTTGCTATGACATGCCCTTTTAATTTCTTGGCCTCAATGAGCTAAATAAATTCTCTTTAACTTCTTTAAATCCCTTAGGAACAGTAGAGTATCAGCAATTTCAGGGTATTTGGGAGGAAGGTACTAAATCCATAAGTAGTGATTATAGTAATGTGTAGACTGTTTGTGTGCTGTGAAATCAGCTCTTGGCTGTCTTTCCACTGACTTAAATCTCTGTCATTTTCTGTTGGTAGATTAAGGAAATCAGCAGATGCAGAGAAAGATAAGGTTGTGATGGGATGGGACAAATAAGGAGATTTTGACCAGGTTGCATTTTCTTCTCAGTTATAAGACTGGCGTCTTAGCAGTTCATGGCATAGTGATCAATGAAAGTTGGTTATTAGTTAGGTTTCCTATTACCTGGAGGCAGTAGGGGACCCTGTACTAAGAATGTCTTGTTTGTTTGTTTTCCAGCTTGGTATTACAGTGTAATCAGACTGCATTGGCTCGAAACACTGATTATCAGGTTAAACAAGTACTAGTGACTCAGTAAGTCATTTTCTTGAGTCATAAGTGATCTATTTAGGGCACTAGGGGAGTGAATTTAAAGATGTTTCTTCATTTTAGGTAGAGCAGAATTCAAAGGTTTTTTAAATTTGGGAAATGTTTTATATTTTATGAGATATATTTATTGTGAAGCCTATGTAACGTCAGCAACGGCAGAGGTCCAGAGATTGTCATTCGGTTGCAGTACTCTTGCTAAGGATGTGGAAAGACAGTAGTTCAGAAGATGCCCAGTAGGAGTCATGTTTACTTATTTAGCCATTTACCGCATGTTGTAGGTTATGGACCCAGAACTATTAACAGTAGCCCTAGTTTCCTGTGGTTACCTTGGACTAGACTGAAGTCATCCTGAATCTCCCTAATTGTATGTAATTTATCTGTCCTTCTGTATCTGTGCCGATTGCAACACAATCTATTTGGGCTTTTTTGTTTTTCCTTGATGAATCTTACTGGCAGCTAGTTATGACTCAACAAAAAACATGTTGGGAGAATAGGGGAAAAAAGATCATTGTGATTTTAAGTGGAAAATATCAAGGGAAATAGGGTTGAACTGTGAATGGTGGGAGGATTCAGAGAGGGACAAGACATTATGTCAAATAAGGGGAAAGCATGAGGAAAGATGTGTGTGTGTGTGTGCGCGCATGCGTGTGCACTGGCAGAGTGTGGAGGGATGCAGAGCAGGGAGTGCATAGATAGATTGACTGATTTGATATGTTCAGATTAGAAAATGGTAAGAAAAGAAAAGGCTTAGGAAGGGTTTTAGATTTATCTTTTTTTTTTTAATAGAGGCATGTTTTATTTATTTATTTGTTTGTTTGTTTATACAAGCACTGGGTACAGTCAGAAGCGCAGGAGGGTGAGAGAATTCACCAGAGCCAGAGCAGGGAGCAGAGCAGGCAGAAAGACCGAAGCACACTGCTGAGGGGAGCAGCGGGCAGCAAGAGAGGCCTGCGCGCCATGTGGGACCCTCCTCCGGTGGCCGGGGAGCAGCCGGGGATCGAACCGGCGCCGCAGAGGCCACAGGCAGCTTCGCAACCCACGCTCAACCTCTGCGCCACCGGGGAGGCCCTAGATTTATCTTACATGAAGGATGCTGCTGAAGCATTTTGAGCAGTGAAATGATATAAAATGGTATTTTGGAAATATTAATTGATATTATGCAGTGTAGATGGAATTAGCTTTAGGACATCCTTTTCCCCCTAACAGATTGAGGATAAATATGAGAGAGGAGAGGCTAACTAGGGCATTCATTACATTTAAGTGAAAAAGAATAGCCGGCATTATAGCAGCACTTAGAATGGAAAGGAAACTGTAGATATGAATAATTGTGTGAACAAAGGTTTCTAGGGAGAGAGTTGAAATAGAAATAAGAGGGTTTTTAAAACATTGAAGTCTTAATTTAAATAAATGTGGTTCATCCATTTTAAGTGTGCAATTTGATGAACTTTGACAAGCTCAGAAAGTTTTATCCCCACTACCACAATCATTATATAGAACAATTTACCACTTTCTAGATCATCCTCTTCCTCCATCCAGCCCTAACCCTTGACAACCTCTGATTTACTTGCTATCATTTTAACTTTGTTTTTTTTCCCCCTTTCCAGAGTTTTCTGTAAATGAAGTTTTTTACAGGCTTTTGTGTCTGGCTGCTCCCCCTCATCCTTATCTGCGCATAAATGTCTCAGGAAAGCCTTGATTAGATCCACAATTCTCAGTACCACTTGGATTCTCCTTGCTGTCATTTATCACAACTGGCATTATTTGTTTAATCTTTCTCCTCTCCATAATACTTGTAAAATCTATAAATGCCGGCATGTGGTAGGTGCTCAGTAAATTCCTTGAGTAGATTACCTTGTTTTAAGTTCCTTAAGGACAGAGACTTTTCCTATTTAAATTTAAATTCCTCCTGACATTTCACATTGCTTTGTACAGCATAAATTCTTAACAGATATGTATGAATCCCTGTAGTGGCTTAAAATCAGCAATATATTGATAATTGCATGGAATTATCAGGTCAAATATGTGAAGTTTAAAGGATTATTTTAGTATATTTTTTGTTCTGACATTAATACTTCATTGAAAGTTTGGAAAACAGAAGAGCTGAAAGAAAAAAATGTTCAGAGGGTGGTAGAGAGCGCTCAGACCTTCTCTGAGTGCGCCATCGCGAGCTCACACCAGCTGCGTTGGAGCCTCTGTCCTTGTAGAATCTTAAAAGTTAGTGATTTGGTAGATGAAATTGGTGTCTTATTTTCCTTCCATTTATTTGATTTACTCAGTTACAATGCTGCTGTTTTCCTTGTTAAGTTCTTAAATCCATGGGGAGGTTGCTGAACATTGCTGTCCGTTTATCTGTTTTTAGGTTTTTCCCATCTGTTTTGACTCCCTAACTTGAAATGTATTTGCTAGGTGGCAGGACTAGTTCTCTTTATTAGTTCTTATCTATGGGTTTTTATCTTTTTAGAGTGACTCTTTTTCTCTCCTTTCCTTCTCTTCATACTCTCCCCCTCTTTTCTTTCTCACGCCCCCTCCACACCCTTTTGGGTGAAAGTCTTTATGTACTACTTAACTGCTTGTGTGTGACCTTTTCTCGGTAGAATAACTGTTATCCTAGAAATACCTCTTTCCCTCCCCTGACTTCTGATTCTCAGTGTATAACCTAGTGTAAATGTTGCAGACCTGGCGAAAAAAAGACCGTAATAGATTGCATCTCGACACACAGTTGTTGGGGGTGGGGGTGTATGCTGCATGTTACAGTATGTTTGTGTATGCCATTAAAAGTTGCCAGCGTCATTTCTTGGAAAAAATTGTTCTTATATATTCACACTGTAGTGATGCTCCTTGTGTTGATAGTGTGGTGGTGGTTACTGAAAAGTATACAGTAGAGTCATAGTTTGTCTGGGGGGGTTAGGCTTTTTTTAGCTTTAATGTGTAATACAAACAGTATTTCATGAGAATTTTCAAATTACTTAGAAAGAATAGCTCTTGGTACATTTGGTATTTTTTTCCTTGAGCACTGGAACAGGTTGTTATTTGTTTGCATGAAAATAAGATGAAGCAATTTACTTCCATTTAGGAACCATGTTGCACAAAAAGTATCCTTTCACCATTGAAATCATGCTTTGCATTCATATCTTGCCTCTGAGGCTTCCTGCTGGGCTGACTCTGGCTTTTCTGTGGCACCTTGGTAGGCAGAATCCATAGCTCCAATTGTTTTCTTCCCTTTCTCTTTTTTGAGCATGCTGTTCTTCACCTCCATGTGGTGTTCTTGTACCAAAAAAATCAGGGGCTGTGGGGGGAGAGCGGGGAGGGAGAGTTGGGGGCATATGTAAATCAGAAAGATTGAAGAGTACAGGTGAATTTGAGTGAGTACATTAGAGTATCTAAAATAAGCCTTGAAAACTCATTTTATCAGTGCCACCCGGTGCCCTGTGGTAATAGATCACACAGCCATAGTTATCAACACTAAGAAATTGACTTTGGCACAGCACAGCTGACCGCAGATCTTCAGATTTTGCCAGCTTTTGTGTGCACTCATTTTTATTTTTCTTATGTATTTATAACATATAATTCTGTGATGTTAAAAGCATAATTTTCAGAGTTGTGGATTTACAGAAAAGTTGTAAAGATAATACAGAGTTCCTATCTAGTCCTCACCTTCTTTCCTTGTCACAGCTCAAATCTTAAAGTATGTTTTTTACAATTATCTGACCTAGATGGGCCCTTTCCTAATAAACCCCACGCTTGACTCAGATTTTACTATTTTGGCCCTTATGTCCTTTTTCAGTTCCTGGAGCCTGCCCAGAATACTGCATTATTCTTTGTCATTATGTCTCTTAGGCAAATCTAGACTCTTAACAGTTTTTCAGATATTTCTTATTTATGATAATTTTGACAACTCGGAGGAATTCTTATTAGTGGTTTAGGGAATGTCCCTCGATTTAGATTTGTCTGCAGTTTTTCTCATGGTTACACTAGGGTTATAGACTTTTGAGGCAAATATAGCAGAGGTACAGTGACATTTTTATCATACTGTGTTGGGTACAAGCTATCCACGTGCCTGGTCACTGTTTATGTTGACCTCGGTGCCCAGCTGGGGTACTGGCAGCAAGATTTTGCACTGTAAAGTTACTTTGTCCCTCCTTTTCACACACTGCTCTCTGGGAGCAAGTTCCTAAATACCGTTGACATTCAAGGACATGGGGGGCTTTAATTCAACTTCCTGGAAGGGATATTATTTAGAAAAATTACTTGCACTTGTTCTAACAGGTATTTTAGAAAACAGCATGAGTACTGAACCAGTCTAATACATTTGTTCTTTGCAGGGTGGGAAACCCCGTAAACACCGGAAGGATCGGCTACAAGATTTAATTGACATAGGCTTTGGCTACGATGAGACAGATCCGTTTATTGATAACTCAGAGGCTGTGAGTAATGTAGCTTTACTATAACAGTGTTTCTTTGTTGTTGTTGTTTTTTTATGATACCAGAAGTCAAAAGTAAAATAACTGAAATAGATCAGCAAATGGTTTTTGTTAAGTTATTGATATATAATTAAATTGTTCTCAGTTTTATACTCTTACAAAAGATCGAGCATCTATGTACACTGATCTTTGTGTCCTGAGTAAACATGATGTAGGATATTTATAGTGTGCAGACATATGTGTAGGATAATTTTCTAGCAACAGAATTTGCATCTTGGTGTTTGCATTTTGAGTATTTGTTGGTTTTGCCAAACTTGGACAGGTGTATTTTGAAATGACCTCCAGATAAGCACCATGAACTCTTGAAGATTGGAGCTACTGGGTTGAAGAAAATCTGGCAGAGAGCTTTAAAATCTACTTAATGTTTTAGAGCTGCCAAGCCTTTCTGCAATGGCAGTGATTGATTGCTGGCTTTTACCCCATCTGTTCCGGTCAGGTCTACAAGTTTCACCCTAGAATCGGCTCTCGCTCCTAAAAGAAAATGGAATTTAGAAGTGCATTTAAGGACTGCAGCAGATCACTGATCACATAGTAAATGAATGGGGGTGTGTTATGTTTTAGAGTAAGTAAAGTGTACGATCTTAACATTCTTCTCAGTGTACTAGAGTCATCAAGCTCGGGGGTTATGATATCCTCTGCTCTGTGTGGTGGTTACTTAGGATAAACAGAAAATGACACTACGCTGTTAAACCACCCACAAATTAGTGCAGCTTTTCCCTATTACTTGGTAGTATAGATGATGACAAGGCATCTGGTGCTAGGAGAGGGACGTGAAGTAGTTGGCAGCATGATGCACTTTGGAGGCCATGTCATACTCCTAGATTATTTTGATGTCCTGCCATGCACTGGTTTGCCATATCAGGCAACCTGACCTGCAGAAGTAAAATAACTATAATGTCCTTAGGAGTAGCGAGGCCTCCCTGTCACTAAAAAGATTGTTGACCAGCGTGGGGTGTTTTCCAGAGTCTTGACCTTGATTTGGAAATCAAGTCAGTAGTCCTAGATTCTGGTCCTGACTTGGTTTCTCATTTCCTTTTGACCAGGAACAAGTCTTTCAAGCATCACCCAATTTTATCTGAATTACTCTGAGACTCAGATAATGATGTCCTGAAAAGCATAAAGCAAGTGTAAAGTGGTACTTTTAGTGTTAACACAGGTAAAGCAGATTTTGAATCATAATAACTCAAGAAGGCACTTGACCGTATATAAATGGACATTGCATCTACTCTTTCATGTTACATATACTTACGCTTATATAAACAGCATGTTTAAAATTAATAAACATATTTTTGAGAACAGTTTTAGGTTAACAGCAAAGCTGAGTGACTGGTACAGAGATTTCCCATAGGCTCCCGTCCCCACATATGCACAGCCTCCTCCCCCTGCTAGGCTGGTCCATTAGATGTGAATGAACTGATACTGATCTATCTTCACCCAGAGTCAGTTGTTTACCTTCAGCTTCACTCCTGGTTGCTTACATTCTGTGGGTTTTGGCAAATGTATGATGTGATCCACCAATATGGTATCATACAGTATAGTTTCACTGTCCTAAAAAGAAAAATCTGTGCTTTGCCGATTCATCCCTTCCAAACCCCTGATAACCACTAATATTTTTTCTGTCCATAGTTTTGTCTTTTTAACAATGCCATATAATTGGAATCACTATATGTAGCCTTTCATAAACAGCATTTTTAGTAATTTATTTTGTTGTGGTTGGAATATTGTATAAAATGTTTTTCAAACTGACTGTTACAGCCCATAATTGGATTACATTGATTTAGAGAGTGTGGCCAGCACTTTTAAAGAAAAAGGAAATAGAATAGAATAGGAACTGTCATAGTAAATCACTGGTAGATTGTGATTGTGTGTGTGTGTGTGTGTGTGTGTGTGTAAACACTGGATTTTGAGTTGTATTTACCGCTTGGATTATGGTGAAGAAAATTTGAAATCTACTGCCTTAATAAATAATAAAGTTCATCAGCATATGTTGAATGAAAGTTGCACAAGTAATTGCTACATTTATAGGACAGCTAGCAACCTGTTTTATAAAAGGAAATTGGACTAAAATACAGGGTATTTACTTGCAAAATAATTTCATATCATTGTTCTTCATAGATTGTTTGATTCTTTTTATGAGATAATTCAGACATAAAGCAATTATGATCCATCCAAATGATTCTTTGTTCTTTTTGCATTGATTTGTCTTTTTTATGGATTTATCAGCAAGCTTTTACTATTCATAAACTATTTGATAGTGTATAAAATAATTCTAGCTAATTTTCAGAATCATCTACTACTTATTACTTTAAATACCTGAAAATAAATGCTTCTGAAGATTATTTTTAGTCACACATTTATGCTGTCAAACTCTAAAAAGACTGAAAGAAAATGTTTTTCTTTATTATTAATAAACATTAACAGGCGGGTGTTACACCCCAAAATACTGATGTTAAATGACTTGTTTTGGGTCACAATAGCAAAGGATTTAAATCCAGGCCTTCTGATTCTCAAGTTCAGTGCTCCATTGCCTCATAGAACATTCTACTGGAAAGGCTGCATTAAATGTGCATATAGCAAGTTTGTTCTGCTGAAGAGTGTTCCAATAGGGGAAGCTCAGCCTGTGCAGCAGATGTGGAGCACATCTCAGCCCTGCAATCTGGTGATGAGTGTTTCCCCCTTGAGAAACTGCTTGGTGTAGTTGGGGGGGCTGGGAGTCAGCCACTGACTCTGCCATCAACTCATTGAATTGCTTTGGTGAGGTTCTTAATCTCGCTGAATCTGGTTTTCACTTATAAAATGGGAATATTAGCTTTCTCCGGCTCAGAGAGTATCAGGAGGACCAAGTGAAATAATTTATACGAAGACACAATTAAGATCATAAAGTTGTGTGCACAGATGTAAGCCAACAGTACAGGTATATTTATCTTACCACAGTTAAACATTTTCAGACTAATTTCTACAGTCTTTTTATGTTCAGCCTTTACTCCGCATGTCACTCCTTTACTGCACATAGTACTGGACTCCGTTCTGCGGGTCTCCCCTACCTATGTTTATAGGAGCCCACCAACGGGAGCAAGAAGGAAGGATTGTATTTCCTTTTTCTTTTTTTTCTCCTCACTTTCTTTTTTATTTAATATAATTAAGTCAAACATTCTTTTTTCCACTTTCCATATAACTTAAAAGGATACAGGTTGAAATCACAATGTTTGTTCTTAACCTTAATTCCCCCCCCCCCCCAATCTAGCATGTTATGAATATTCCTTGCCCAGGGCAAAGAACTCTCCTTAAAAGTCTGCCTTTCTTACAGACTAACTGTATAATACGAAGAATCCATAAGTAGTGCTCTGAGGACCCAGGCAGTTGCTATCTTGCTTGGGTTAGAGTAGTAGTTCTTTTTCTCAGTTAAGATTTTTCTCAGTTAAGATTCTGAGAAATCTTATTTCTCAGAATAAGATTTAACCTTTGTTTAACGTTTGATTTTTGTCCATCTTCATGAGGTGAGGTAATGGTAAACATTAAAATCCAGGCTTAGAGGGCATCAGGTTTTGGGTCAAGCCTTCACTCTGATTTAGACAATTTGAGTCCCTTGCTCAAAGCAACGTGCTGGGCTCATTATATAAGCCCTCAGTGTGAGCTAACTCAACTGGGAAGTTGGGAAATGATTTTTCTGCTTCCCTTTACAACTCATATATGCTGTTTTTCTTTTCAATGTTTAAAATGTTCCTCCACTTGAAAGCTTAGAACAGAGACAGAAGAAATAATTTTGTTATTCTTTATAATCTCTGTATGAATAATAATATGTACTAATAGGGTAGGAAATGAAATTCTTTGGATGTGTAGTCATCTGTCTTAACTTGTTTTTCATCAGAATCATTTATCATTAGAAATAGTAGCAACAATGATCCTTAAATTTTTCTCAGTAGATGATATACTTAGAATTTACTTCATTATTTCAGAAGTTCCTTTCTTATTAAATGCTCAATGATCAGAGCTCATCATTTTATTCCAAATATTTACTTTTTCTAAATTTATTCTATAAACATTCTTGTTGTACTCAGTTTTGCAGGTAGTATTTGAGGAAGATGCTAACATTGTGATTAAATTTCTTTGACATTTGTTGAATTAAAGACAGCAGGAAATATCTGAAACTTTCTTTTTCAATTTAGTATGATGAATTAGTTCCTGCTTCTCTAACAACAAAATATGGAGGCTTTTATATCAACACTGGCACGTTACAGTTTCGCCAAGCTTCAGATACTGAAGAAGAAGATATTACAGACACCCAAAAGCACAAGCCACCCAAAGTGAGTTTCTCCAACATTGCAACGGTGATGAAGGAGCTGAAGCAATCGGATATGCTTTTCAACTTTATTTGTGCCACAGTTGTGAATAAAAGGAAAAGCAAAATGTTAATCATTGTTTACTGAATCTACAATTAATTACATGCTTTAAAGTAAAATTAATGTAATATGTGAAAACTAACATTTACATCACAATATAATTGTATTTTGTTTTAAGCCTTGTCTTTCCATATGTGGCCTAATAATCTACTCTTTGGGAGGATGAAGTTAAGTTTCTAGGATGGGTTAAGACTTGGTACAGAAACATTACCTTTCTTAAGATGTAATTTATAAAGCAAAGTCTGTTGAACATACACATTATATTTGGGAACTGGATGGAATGTCCTTGGATAAGTCTTTCTTAAAGTATGATCCTAAGACTTACACCAAAATGTTTGTTTAAAAAGCAGATTAGAGGGCCTCCCTGGTGGCTCAAGGGGTTAAGCACCACACTATGAAGCAATCCGCAGCCACTGTAGCATGAGTTCCATCCCCGGCTAGGGAGAAACCCACGTGGTGCAGCAGACCTCTCCTGCCTCGCCCACTGCTCTCCTCAGCACTGTATTTCAGTCAGTCTGCCTGTTCTGATCCCCACTCTGTCTCTGGTGAATCCTCTCACCCCCACCCCCACCGCCCCGCATCTCTGGCCTGTACCCCAGCTCTTATATGCATAAATAAATAAATCTTTTTTTTTTTTTAAAAAAAAAAGCAGATTATAGGGGGCCTCCCTGGTGGGGCAGGGGGTTAAGTCTTAGCACTACAAAGCTATCCACAACCACTGCAGCAAGAGTTCGATCCCTAGCCAGGGAGCTAACCCACCATGATGCAGCAGACCTCTCCTGACTCTCCCCCTGCTCCCTCAGCAGTGTATTTCAGTAGATTTGCCTGTTCTGCTCCCCACTCTGTCTCTGGTGAATCCTCTCTCACACACACACCCCCCAGCACCTCCCGTCTACACCCCAGCTCTTGTATGCATAAATAAATAAAATCTTAAAAAATAATAATAAAAAGTAGAATATGAGGCCTTACCTCAGATAACTGCATCAAAATCAGAAGTAGAAGTGCTCATGGACCCCAAAAATCTGCATTTTCAATAAGCAGTGCACATTGAAAGTTGAGAAAAGCTACTTTGGGTGAATGCTGAGTTGATAACATCAGAGAGTAAAAGTATTGATCCTTCAGTGAGCAGTAACTTCTTTTGTCACTTTGCAGATTCCCAAAATAAAAGAAGATGATATTGAGATGAAGAAGCGGAAACGGAAAGAGGAAGGGGAAAAGGAGAAGAAACCAAGGAAAAAAGTTCCCAAACAGCTGGGGTATGTGAAGTCAATTGTAATAAGCGAACTAGTGCCATAGGCTGACTAGCTCTCCTTTTAGAAAGATATTTAGCACGAATTAATTCAGCTTAGCTGGCTCTAATTTAATGCAGTATAATGTCAATGACTAACATATTAGTAATATTGTATTTATGAAAAAATAAGTAGGAGGCTTTGTCATCTTAGAGATTCATGCATGGTGTTTTAGAACAGTACATGTTTGTTCATTAAGTATTTCACTCACTGCAACTTTTTACCAGCAAGAACAGTTTGGAAAGGTGGTATAAACATTGAACAAGTAATTTTGATCTTTTTTTTTTTTTTTTTTAAAGGGAAGGTTTATTAGGAAAAGGGACAGAAAAATAAAGGACACTTGCATAGACACAGCGCACAGGAAGAGCTGCCCCAGGAGGGACAGGTTTGCTAAGAAAGGCCTGCATGGTTGCATGCGGGCGGCCTTGACAGGTCACAGGCAGGCAGGAAGGCCGCTGCCCTGCAGAGGGACAGAGTTGGTGAAAAGAGGCACCTGCATAGTCACAGGTGGGCAGTGGGATTGCTGCCTATTTTGATCTTTTTGTAATAAAACTAAGTTTAGATGCCAGGGAGTTGAGGGTTGGCATTAATCTACGTCAATTGATTTATTATGGTTTTAATATAAAAAAGTCATTGATTTTATTTAGCTATTCTTAATGCGTTTCACATCGTAAGTAATGGTATTACCTGTAAAAACCAAGAATTTCTTAAAAGCATTAAAGTTATAAGAATAAAATGTTTATACCATTTTGTGCCGTCATAAAAACAACCCATTGCCTCTGCTTCTCTTGGCTTTTTTGCAGAACTGAGGTACAGAAACTTGCAAAAGGCTGAATTTCCCCCTTATTAGTATGGGAGGTGTATCTGAATTTTGGACTATGGGTATCTAAAAGGTTGATGTAGGGGGAGGTATTTATCCCCTGAAATTATTAAGGGAAAAAAATACATAAATACACATATACACATGTATACGTACACATATATAGATCACTAATGGTTGCTTTATTTATTTATTTTACGTTGGGGATCTCCTGGTAAGGACCAAACCTCTTGGACAAATTTTAAAAGACCTGTAACTCTCAAAAAAGGCTATATATTATTTACAAGCAAACTTTTTTTGGGAACAAAGACAAATGTAGTGCCTTTTATTGAATTTGTCTTTCTCTCAAAATTATACCTTACTTATTCAGCAAACATTTATTAAGTATTCTGTATATCAGGTACTGTTCCTGGTTTTGGGTATATAACAGTAAACCAAGTGTGCACCTTCTTTCCACATACTAGTAAACTTAGGTTCTCTGGTGCACTTCAAAGCATGTGAACCATAGAATTCAGAAAAGATTTCTTAGAAACAGAGACCACCCTTTTCACATAGTTCCTGGGGGAAACTATGTCATTGAGAAAGTTGTCATTGAAAATTGCGCATCTGTTTCATTGCCTCATAAAGCTGTTCCTAGAATCAAAAATCAAAAGTGATCCAAAGTGGGCCTCCCTGGTGGCGCAAGGGGTTGGGCACCGCACTATGAGGCAGTCCACAGCCTCTGCGGCATGGGTTTGATCCCCGGCCAGCCAGGGAGCAACCCACATGGCGAAGCAGACCTCTCCTGTCGCACCTGCTGCTCCCCTCAGCAGTGTATTTCGGTCAGTCTGCCTGTTCTGTTCCCCACTTTGTCTCTGGTGAATCCTCTCATCCCCACCTGAATCTCTGGCCTGTACCCCAGCTCTTATGTGCATGGATAAATAAATCTTATATAAAAATATCGAAAAGTAGTGGCAAGTAGAATAGGGCCCAATAGACAGGTGACATGGCGATAGGTGAAGACATACAGATGGGGGCACAGGGTTCTGTGTTTCCTTACTAGTTTAGTTTGGTTTAGTTGTAGCACAAACTACCTGGAGTACTAGTTTGAAGGTGTCCCTTGTGGGCTTCTTTGGTTGTGCAACAGCTCTCTTCTCAGCAACAGTGCATTTCATTGCTAGGCTAATTCTTTATAGCTCTGCTAAAGAATGTGACTGTTCCGAAAAGGGTAGTAAGATTAACTGAGTGTATCTTTAGTCCTTTCGTTTTCTCCTTTCTAGTGGTCACGTACCTGTCTACTTATCATTGTCCAGATGATGGTGATGAAAAATGAAGATGCTATTGTAAAAGTGTAATTTAATAAGAAATGTGCTCTCCTACCTATCAAATGATCATTTTAATTGTGTCTGCTTAATTACATAGAACTTTAAACTTTCAAATCATATCTAGTTTAATTGAACACTTTTTCTTCACAGAGTTGTGGCTCTAAATTCACATAAGTCTGAGAAAAAGAAGAAACGTTACAAAGATTCGCTCTCTCTAGCTGCCATGATACGGAAATTTCAGAAAGAGAAGGATGCATTAAAGAAGGAGTCTAACCCCAAAGTCCCAGTGAACGTATCGACCTCGTCTCAGAATAAACCCCCTTCCACTGCTGTAGCCTTGGGAAATGATGTTTCAGACTTAAATCTGAACAGTGCTGATCCGGACCTCCCCATTTTTGTTAGCACAAATGAACACGAACTATTTCAGGAAGCTGAAAATGCCCTAGAGATGCTAGATGATTTCGACTTTGACAGATTACTGGATGCTGCTTCTGATGGTAGTCCTCTCTCTGAGTCAGGGGGAGAGAATGGAAACACCACCCAGCCGACCTACACCTCTCAGGTTATGCCCAAGGTGGTACCTACACTCCCAGAGGGTCTACCTGTCCTTCTTGAAAAACGTATCGAAGACCTCCGTGTAGTAAGTATGATAATCCACTTTTGTTTTTCATTTGCTGCACAAACAACAATAAATGCTTTTTTTTTTTTTTTAAGATTTGTTTATTTATTCATATAAGCACTGGGTACAGTCAGAAGTGCAGGAGGGTGAAAGGACTCACCAGAGCCAGAGCGGGGAACAGAACAGGCAGAGTGACGAAATACACTGCTGAGGGGAGCAGCGGGCGCGGCAGGAGAGGTCTGTGTGCCATGTGGCACCCAAGCGCCAGCAGCGGGGGATCGAACTGGCGCTGCTGAGGCTGTGGGCAGCTTCGCAGCCCAGCGCTCAACCATTGTGCCACCAGGGGAGGCCCAACAATAAATGCTTTTTTAAAGACAAAAAAAATAATACAGCACAACACTCTTACAAACAATGTTTTTGGGGTTTTATTTGGTATTTCCTTTTAGGCATTGGACATGTATATAATAGGCATTTTAAAAAACAGAAATATATTGTATATAACTATAGTTACAATGTGGATGCAGTGGGTTATTTCACTTCACCTTATATTTTTCTGCGTAGGTTTCATAAATATAATTTCTGTAGTAATATCGTGGGAATGTACCTGAACTTGATCCAAGCTTTGCTGACATATAGGTGTTTTATTATAATAGGCTTTACCAGCTAATCCAGGAAATTTGCCAGCTAATCCTCAGCTCTCGTAAGCCTTGTGTTTCACTAGGACAAACTGAAGAGTTGAACTTTTAGCATGCCATAGTGGATTCCTCTCCAGAACAACCTGGATTCCTAATCTTCACTTGTTTAGCTACAAATCCGTGTCATATCCACTTCTCCATTTAATCTAAGAGAGAAGATGTTTTGATGTAAAACATGCCAAACCTCACTTTAAATGTCCTTTTGATTACTTTAGTGTGTTTTAACTCACGCCTTATGACAGTCCTCTTTTTTCCTGATGACAGAAATAGTACACACACAAATCCCTCATGATCTGATACTCTCCACGCCCAGCAGAGATAATTAGTGTCAAAGTACTGTGTGTTTCTCTAGATCTTAATTTATTTGCAAATATTACATTTCTTAAAATAATTGCTAATGGGATTGTAATGTATGGACTATTCTACACTTGCTTCTTTCTCCTGTGATGACAGGAAGCTACTTAAATCATGCTTTAAATTTTATTCGCCATCTCTATTGTATTTATTTTTTTTGACCTCTTTCTAAATTAAAAATCTGATTAGGGAAGCAAGAAATGTATCTAATTTTTCCAACAACTGGCCCATGGGTTTTATCAATTCTTTTTTATTTATTTATTTATTTTTAGTTCTTCAGTATTTCTTCTGAGGTTATGACTTAGTAATTTTTAATTTTATTCTAATGTATTCCATTCGTCCAGCACTTAGTGAAGTGCATTAAAGCATCACCATTGTTTCTTAGTGTGTAACTTGTTTTTAACCTTAGTTTTTGTTCTGTTTATATCTGTTATTTGGCCATAAGGTCCTTGATGACTACCTCTTCACTGTAATCATTTGAAAGTCATCCTTTTTGCACTATTAATGCTTTTCGCCGCAAATTCTGTTTTATCTGGTTTTACTACAGACTGTCTTTAATTTTGCATGTTCAGTTTTTCTCATCATTTATCCTCAAACTTTGAGTTCCGTTTTTTTGAGTTCTTTCTCTTATCGATAGCATACAAATGGAAATGTCTCATATGAGAGTATTTTCTCTCAGCAAGTGATTTTGTCATACCTCTATAATGTACATACATTGAGGTGATTGATTTTTAGTCCGTTTTATTGTTCCTTTTGTCCTTTGTTTTCCTTTTTTTGCTTTTTTCTGTACTTGTTATTTTTTGGAAAGTACACAGTCTGTACTTTCATTAATCGGATAGGTATTTAATCTTCTCACTCACTGTCTATGTGAAGTATGAGCATTGTGTCTCATGGGTAAGAAACTTAGTGGCACAGGTGAAATAGCCTGGCAGGTCCACATAGCCAGGAAGTAGTAGAGCGAGAGTTTAAGCGCTAGGGGTTCACCTGCCTCCAAAGTCTATGAATTTTGCTATTTTATGTTGCCCTAAAATCCTTACTTCCTTCTAGATTTTGAAAAGTGCTGATGGTGTAATCCAGGCTTTTCAATGATAACTATTTATTGAGCAAAAACCTGTACTGTGTGTTAATGCAGCGCTGCCATGCCCCCCCATTCACAAGGCACCACTTGCCACCCAGGAGCTGGCACCTGATGAGGTTTAGTCTATTTTACATACATGTAGTCTAAACCTCCTGAAGGTAGGTTTCTTCCATTTAATACGTGAGGCAGGTAGTAGTCTTCCATTTCATAGACAAGGAAACTACAGTTCAGAGAGGGTGACATGATTTACCATAGGCCATATAATTTTGAAGTGGCTATAATTGGTTCAGAGTCAGGGTGTAAAGGCAGATCTATCATGCTCCATTACGTATACTCTGTCGTGTCACATGGCATTCTTTTTTTTTTTTTTTATAGAGGCATGTTTTTATTTATTTATTTGTTTGTTTTTTGTTTTGTTTATGCATGCACTGAGTACAGTCAGAAGCGTGGGAGGGTGAGAGAATTCACCAGAGCCAGAGCAGGGAACAGAGTAGGCAGAAGGACCGAAGTACACTGCTGAGGGGAGCAGCGGGCAGCAGGAGAGGTCTGCGCGCACATGGCATTCTTATTTAGTGTGTTCCAGGCATGTAAGGCTGTGTCATATCTCATGTACCAAAAACAATCATCTCCTTCTGTAATAGCCATTCCAGGATTAATGCAGCTGCTTCTTAACATCTTAGTAGAGCAGTCTCATTAAGGTACATTTTACTTATTGATTGATGTCTATGAGTTTTTCATATCTCTTCTTTGAAATATGAGATTTTTTTTCTTTAGAAAATGAGAATTGATTCTTGCTAAAATACTTGTATCTGCCTGATAAAACAGTTTCTTCTTGTTGATCTTCTCTCATGAACATCATTCTACTGTCAACCTCTTGGCTTTTTTTATTCCCTTAACTTTCACTTTTCATTCTGGTTTTTGTCCTGTATTTCTGTCTCCTACACATCAGTCTTCGTCCTCTCTTAAAAGCTTGAAGGTGGGGCCTCCCTGGTGGTGCAGGCGGTTGAGCACAGCGCTGTGAAGCTGTCCACAGTCTGTGCAGCGCGGATTCGATCCCCGCCAGGCGTGGAGCAACCCACTTGGTGGGGCAGACCTATCCTATCACACCTGCTGCTCCCCTCAGCTGTGTGTTTCGGTCGTTTTGCCTGTTCTGTTCCCCACTCTGTTTCTGGTGAATCCTCTTACCCTCCTGCACATCTGGCCTGTACCAGTTCTTGTATAAATAAAATAAATCTTAAAAAAAAAAAAAAAAAAAGCTCAAAGGTGGTCTCAGGTTTTCTTTTTCTATTTATAACATGAAAGATTGTCAGGGCTTAAGAGAGTTTTAACGTAGAGTCAGAATGGGTTGGCATAGGTGACTGGGTCAAGTCTCTTGATGGTTTATGTTTAGTAGATCTCAAGGTAAACTGTATCCTTGGTGACTTCCCCAGTAAATTTTGCTTATGGCAGGATGTCTTGGTTTGTATTTTGTTGTTTCTGGTCTGCTGGTTAAGGTGGCAGACAGAGTGATGAAAATATTATCCTTAAGCTCATTGAATTAATTTTTTTATCCCTTGATAATAACTTCAATAATATTTGATAATATTTCCACTGTTGGTAAGGAGGTAGAATTCAAACGGGCTGCAATAAGTCAAGTGTCTGTCCAGGGTGGCAGTATTGCACGGTTAATGACATAAAGCTTTTTTCCTGAGTTGGAGATCCACCTCTTAGCAGCAGCAGGGTGTTGTAACCTCTGTAAGATTTAGATTCTTTATTTGTGTGATGGGTGTTGCAATACCAGGGTCATTGGTTATTGTAAGGATTCAACAAAAGTAAAGAGTATAAAATATGGAATGTCCGACAGGTTGTGTACAATAATGTCTAAAGTGAGATATCTGCTTTCTGTTAACACAGCATCGACGAATAAAAATGAACGAATGGCTAGCCAAACATAAGACACCCAAGCACTAAAAAGTCTTGTGTATATAATTTTGTGAATTTAAGAAAATTGAGAAAAATGAAATAAAGACATAGTAGGAAAGAATGATCTGGGTCCTTCTTGGTGGCCTAAGGGTTCAGTCTCAGCGCTATTACCACTAGGACCTGAGTTCAATCCCCGGCCGGGGAGCTGACCCACATGGCACAGCAGACCTCTCCTCCTTGCCCGCTACTCCCCTCAGCAGTGTATTTCAATCAGTCTGCCTGTTCTGCTCCCCACTCTGTCTCTGGTGAATCCTCTCCCCTCCCCGTTCCCCATACCTCAGGCCTACACTCCAGTTCTTCTATGCATAAATAAGTATTTTAAAAAAATTATCTGTATGCTAAATATTCTTTAATTGCCTACTTATGCAGGTACTAAGCTGTGTATGGAATAAAGCATGATATAAATCATAGCCCCACCCTCACAGAGCCAGAGCATGGTTTTTTTTTTTTTTTTTTTTTTAAAGATATTTATTTATACAAGCACTGGGTACAGTCAGAAGCGCGGGAGGGTGAGAGAATTCACCAGAGCCAGAGCAGGGAACAGAACAGGCAAGCCGATGAAATACACTGCTGAGGGGAGCAGTGGGTGCGGCAGGAGAGGTCTGCGCACCATGTGGGACCCTCGCCTGCCACCGGGGATCGAACCGGTGCTGCAAAGGCTGCGGGCAGCTTTGCAGCCCAGCGCTCAACTGCTGCGCCACCAGTGGAGGCCCCAGAGCATGTTATTTAATGAATAGATATGGAAGCAAATAATGTGTTTATTAAGTTATATTGACAATTTTATATTTCTCTAGGCTGCCAAACTTTTTGATGAAGAAGGAAGGAAAAAATTCTTTACACAGGATATGAATAATATTCTGCTGGAGTAAGTAATTTTCTTCTTTGATTAAAAAAAAAAAAACTTAAAAATTATTAGGAATTCTCTTACGAATTTATCCCTTAAGAGGTACAGGTGGTGGGTGGTTGGCTAGTCTCATGTTTCTTAACTTTTGGCCTCATAGTGTATATGATTAATATTTATGAGCAAATTACCCCTTCGTGTATGTTGGTTTCCCAGGACCCTATATGGTAGTCAGTGCTTCCAGTATTACAGGTGAGAGCGAGTGACCACTTTACAGGTCATATGTTATCCTAGATTAAAATGTTTGTTGTGGTTTTTTGTCACCTTACATGAAAATATCTTTCTGGGGTAGCTCTGAATTCTCTGTCTGCTTTCATTATTTGGACTCGGGAAAAATAATACATTGACTGATACCTAGTGAGGTTAAAATCATGCAAACATTCATAGCTACTGGAAAGTGCGGTTTGATAAAGAAGTCATGTTTGTGGGTAGGGCGGAGGCTAGTGTATAGAGAAGACAGTGAGATTGAGAAGGAGAGGGTGAAGGCTAATAGAAACTGTATTTCAGTTAGTGACCATTTTCACTCTTAGAGTTGGATATTAATGAAGCTGTTCTAAGATTGTAGTGAAATAAGCTGTACTTCTAAACCTGTTGGCTTACAAATTTTGACAGCTGATTATAGAAATTGAGTGTATAATTGACTGTAGCCAGAACTGGGCATAAAAGAGGTGGTCCTGGGTAAAGCAACACATTTTACCCCTCTTTCTGATGGAAATAATGTACGTCTGCTCTTGGCTCAGTAACTTCATATAGAAAGAAACAGGAAAGCAATGTGTCTAAAATATGATCCCTGTCTTTTAAGTATATAACAAAGATAAACTTTCATGTGATAATACAGAATTGATTGGTTTATTGATTCTGAGAATGATTTTAATTAATTATAATTCTCATTATCCAGGAGTACTTTTGAAAGATTTTTGATGCCCATGTTCCTGAAACATACAATCTCACCTGCTGCTAGTCTGGTGACAGGGATTTTGCTTTTCTTTATTTTAGCTAGGGATTTTCAGAATGATTCCTTCTGCCTGAAAACAAGGCAAGTGTTTCTTGTCTACGCCACCTCTTTTTACCTAACTCTCTTTTAAACTCCGGGTTCAATAAACAGTGTTGCCATTACTCATCAGAGCTGTCCCAGATTCCATAATCAGGGATCTGATTAGCTCTTGTTTTTTTTTCCACTTGAGAGCCCTCAGTTTACTAGATCAGGTTATTTTCCTGTGACTGAGACAATTCCTTTTTTTATTTTACTCTTGAAAGAGGGAACAACTGTTTCTTCCCTGGGGAAATCAGTAGACCCTACTTTGGGATATGGCATCTCTCAAATAAGGGTATTATCAGCATTCCATGAGCAGACTTGTATGTGAATTCCTCCTCTGTCTGTTGTGAAAGCTCGAGTTTGGGAACCCATCTACTGTTTGGCTTCACAGAGAGTACACCTTCAATTAATTAAACAATTCCTAGTGTTGAGAGTTCATTTTTTTTTTCCCATTTAGTCACTTTCTTAATGCCCATGACTGCTGCTTCCACTTCCTGAGTTGGTATTCTAAGGGTTCATGGTACATGAAGATTTTTGGGGTTGTTATCCAGGTATATTTGCTCTGCCTCACCATTGCTTCCTTTCACTGTGAAGAAAGATTAATTTGATATAAGAATAATTTTTCTTAGTGCCTAATTGAATCTTGTCTAGATCAACAAATATACAACGTGCTGCCTTGATCTCCTCTACTTCCTCCTTTATTTGATACAGACTTTGCTAATAAAATCTTGGCCTTCTCTGCCTGTGATTACAATTCATCCTGATAGTCCTCAGTATATTCTCTAGGCAGACATTACCAGTTCTGCCAGATACCTCCAGATACCTCCAGATACCTAGACCTAGCTGCCCCTACGATGCTTCTTAAAGGAGCTCATCAGTAGTGACTTTTAAATCTTACTACAAATGGACTTACCAGTTGATCTCTCTGAAGTAAAGGAAAATTCTAAAGTGAAAGGGTTGATCCTATGCCACAACTTTTTCTTTTTCTCTTGAGAGATTACTTTACGATTGGAAGAATCCTAACCAATTTTTCAAGCACATGTCTCATCTATTGCAGTCCAAGTATTCTTTAGATCACACTAGAATCAGGTCAACTGAATGAAGTAGTTGTTGAGGAACAAGAGGAATGAATACCCCGCCTGTTTATTATCATTTAGCACATCAAAAGACTTGAATTCTCACTATAAGTAAGAACTGTTTTGAATTTCGAGTTTAGTAATTTTTGGTTGTTGTCTTATTTGGACAATATTGGTGGGATGTCTGGAATACTTGAGAAAAAAGCCAGGAAACACAATAGATCCCAGAATTCAGTTGAACTTAGAGCTTTTCTTGTTCTAAGAATTTTAACTGATTGAATACAAAATACATCCTCTTTTTAAAAAAGATTGAATGATGGAGTAAAAGATTATATAAACCATGGGGCAGTGACTATATTTTCAGAATCCTGTGTGAAAATAACCTTAAGGTTAGCTATCATTAAATGACTCCTGAGCATGAGAACCTTATTTACAAAGGTTGCCATTGCTCCAGTTACGAATTCCCATGTTGTATTTCTTTGAAACTTCTCCAAAGGCAAATAAGCCAAACCAATAACAAATTCTAGAAATCTGACTATAGAATTGAGGCTACCAGAAGGGGTGGGAGAAGGGAGTGCAGTGGACTATGGGTGTTTTGATGGTGGGCATGATATGGTAATGCCACCTGAAGGGGGAGATCCTGTATGTCTAAATGATATACAACATTGTAAACCAATGTTACTGCAATAAAAATAAATAGCTCTCAGAAATTTGTAAATACAGTTGACCTTTGAATAACAGTAGGGCCACTTCTCAATGGAATTTTTTCAGTAAATGTATCCGGGGAATTTGGGAGAGAAATCCATACCCTAACTATTGTTAGAAAATTTAAAGAAAAAGTATGTCATGAATATGTAGAAGATACTAGATAATAAAATCATCTTTAATAATAAAATACCATAAAATATACACAAATCTCTTATAATTTATAAAAAATTAAAGCACACATTTGACAGACCAAACATGACATCATTTATTGATGAGAGAAACATGAATGTAAAGATTCAATATTGAATTATAACTCTATAAAGTTGACTGTAGTGCACTCTGTACTACTTATTAATTTCAAGGCCATTTCTTGTTGCTCTTGCAGTGAGCTCAAGTATTTTCACTATGTGCTTAAAGCTCCTTATCATTCTGATGATCTCTGCCAATACAGTTGCCTCTCCAACAAAGTATGTATTGCTGTAAAAAAAAGATCTCTTGTGGTTCACATCTATTTTTCATCTTGTTTAATACAATATTGCAAACTTAAATCACTCCATGGACAAACGTGAGGTGGCACTAGTGACACTAGAAGTGCTCCCAAGAAACAGAAAAACCCAACATAACAAGAAAAAGTTGAATTGCTTGATATGTATCTTGGACAGTATTGATGGTGGCACCGACAGGGGATTCATCTTGTAAGATGATATAGAGATGATGTACAGTATACTGTAAATGTATTTTCTCTTGTGATTTTTCTTGGCATTTTATTTTCTCTAGCTTAGTTTATCATAATAAAATAGTATATAATACATCTACCCTACAAACTATATGCTAATAGATTAGTGTTGGTAAGGCTTGTGGACAACAGCAGACTCTTGTGGTTAGGTTTTTGGAAAGTGAAAAGCTAATGTGCATTTTTTGACTGTGTAGTAGTTAGTGTCCCTACCGCCCACGTTGTTCAAGGGTCTACTGTATTTGCCGATATATAGGCCATTTCAGTCAATAACCTTTAAGGTTATGTTTCTTCTTTAGTTTTTACCTAATATTATTAGCTTAGCAGCAGGGAATCAACTATTTTTCTAATTCTTTTTGGAAACCACTGATTTTTATAGGCAGGTCACTAAATTGGTCTGTTCTGAACTAGAAGTACTTACTGCTTGGAGTTTCTGTTTATTTTCAGCCTCAGCAATGGGGCAAGCCTAGAAAGTCTCCTGTCCAGAACCTACACTTACAATAAAAAGCTAATCATGTGTTATTTAACCAAATGTTTGTGCATAGAACTCTAGGACAGTAGTGGTTGTTTTCTTATAGGTCTTAAGCTTCTTGTCTCTGTTTTTTATTATTTGACTTTCCTAATACCAAGAATTGCCAGTTAATTGTATTGCCATATTTCATTGTTTCTGAAGTTGCAGGTATATCTTATAAGTGATGGATATATTTGATAGGACGGTGTTTCTTCTCCAAAAGCTGTTTATTGAATCCTTGGATGCATCTTGCATTTGTGAAAAGTATTAAGGCTCTCTGCCCTTTCTCCTATAATAGAACATGATGATTTGGACGTATTTTGTTGCCAAGAGCCCCAGTTTGGTTTGATCTTCAATTAGCATCTGTTCCCATCTTTCCACAGTAGCAGCTGCCAGATATATAATATCTTCCATCTTGGAGGAAACTGCAATTATTTATTAGTAAGCTTGTCTTGCTGAGAATCTGGTGACTGTTACAACTCTTTTCTCTCTTGGTTTCTTAATAACTCTGTGGACTAAGTATTCATTTAACAACTTGTTTTCTGTCTAAAATCCTAATTTATCAATGGAAACAGTACTAGAGAACTGGAATAAATTGAGCAAACTATCATATACCTAGTATGTGTAATGCAGGCACAAAAAGGGGGGGGGAACAAAGATGGGTGAAATAGTATGTATATGCTGTTGCCAGAGGGGCTTTACTTCAGAATGTGTATTTTTTATTAAATACCTCTAGGGGAAAATAACTGTACCAACCCATTTGAAACTATGTGCCTTTCCAGTTGAGCAGCTGTAGGAGGGTGAAGGGGAGTGGATCTCTTTGAAAAAATGAGCTTTCAGTTAATAATCAAGATCCTGTGCTTTACCCAAAAGAGTAAACTTTGCTGTCATTAAAAATTATCTTCCAGCTTGCTTGTGGTTATATGACTAGATTAGAACTCTTATATATGACCTAGATTAGAACTCCTAAACTAGACTCATAGAAACTTTATGTAGCATTACTCTCTAGTGGTAGGGTTTTCCTCCTTGAAAAATACTCTAGGAAATCATGGGAAGATAAAATGAGAAAAGAATCACTAACTTTGCCTCCTTACTTATGTGTTGCCACCTAAAAGAAATTCCATACTGTTTTTTGTTGTTGGTCAGCATTGAGTTACAGCTACAGGAACTAGGCCCTGTCGTTCGTAGTGGTGTCTACTCTCATCTCGAAGCTTTTGTGCCATGCAATAAAGAAACACTGGTAAAACGTCTAAAGAAGTTACATCTCAATGTTCAGGTAAGAGGACGAACAATAATATCTGCATCTGTAAGCAGATTGGTTTTCATTTGGAGCATTTGCATATTAATTGCTTTATATTGTAGTCATAGTATCTGTACTTAATAGCCATGGGAAGTTATTAAAGTTATGTTGGGTTCCCTAAAAGAAGAAATTACTTTTTCCATAAATGAGTATGAAAATGAGATATAGTATTTTCTAATGCACAGATTTTTTTAAGCTGGAGGGAAAAAAACTAATTTAGTGACATATGTGTGCAAAATTTACATGTCCATCAATTCTAAAGCAAATGAACCAAACCAGGAATTTATATCCTATGCTGAGGAATGGGATGGGGGCCTAGGATGTCAAAGAGAGAAAGTATCTCTCACATGGTCAGGGGGCGATGATTTCATATGACAAAACTCTACTTTTAGATGTTTGCCCTTCCTTAAGGTAGGTTTCTCTGATAGAAAGGTTGTTTCTTAAGTCAGGAGAAAGACAAAGACCAGATGTTCTCACTCATTGTGGAATATATATAGAGAAAACAAAACAACTGACAGAACTAAACCAAACCAACCCTAGAAATGTAACTGTAGAATTGAGGCTTCTAGGAACGAAGGTGGGTGGGTTGAGGGGGCCCAATAGCCTGAAGTAAAGGATTATGGGTGCTTTGGTGGTGGGGGTGGTGTGATGATATACGTCTGAGGAGGCGTGACCTGATTTTCCTAAATCACATACAGGGTTGCAAACCAATGTTACTTCAATAAAGAAAAAATATCCAATCCAAATTCTTGGGAGAGAAAATCTGATTATACATTCTTGGAGCAACCTATAATTTCCTGGCCAATGGGTGGGAGTCACACAGATAATAAGACCCATCACAGGCCACATGAATGGGGAAATGACAGAAATAGAAACCAATAAAAATTAGAACTAGAAGTAGGAGCAAATGTTTTCAAATTATAAAATATTTTCTAAGAAACATTTCAGGTGATATATAAAGGTATTTAATATCCCCGTTGGCCATTGAAAAAAGGATATTTATCTTTGATTTTCTTTATATATTTTATTGCAAACATTTGTATCCCTGAACATTATATTGTTTGGTTTTAATTGCATTTTGAGCTTCATGTAAATGGAGCCATGTGGTCTGTTTTCTTTTGCATCTTCCTTGTTTACATTGTGCACCTTAGACTTAACTGTCCTCTCTCTTTTTTTTTAAAGATTTATTTATTTATACAAGAACCGGGGTACAGGCAATATATGCAGGAGGGTGAGAGTATTCACCAGGGACAGAATGGGGAACAGAACAGGCAGATCTGCTGAAATACACTGCCGAGGGGAGCAGTGGGCGAGACAGGAGAGGTCTGTCACGCCATGTGGGTATCGCCACGGCTGGTGGGGATCAAACTGGCACTGCAGAGGCTTCGGACAGTTTCATGGCGGTGCGCTTAACTGCCTGTGCCACCAGGGAGGACCCTAGACTTACCTGTCTTTACATTGTTGGAAACTCCATTCATTTAGCTGCTGTGTGTAACAGTTCCATTGTATGAGCAAAACCCAGTTAATTTATTCATTTTACTGTTGATGGATACAGGTTGTTTCCAGGGAGATAGTCTCAGTTACATGATTCTTAAAAAGTTATCACACAGAAACCATGATCCTGGATGTTCACATTTTTTTAATGGAACTTAATAGCAGTGTCATCATATGTGCAATGATACTTATCAACTGTCATGCATGAGCTAGGTTAAAATGCTTACTAGTAATAATACCTGTGTTCTGTTTATTAATAAAATATTTTTTTTTTTTTAGATTTATTTTATTTTATTATTTATTCATACAAGCACTGGGTATAGTCAGAAGCGTGGGAGGGTGAGAGAATTCACCAGAGCCAGAGCGGGGAGCAGAGCAGGCAGAAAGATCGAAGCACACTGCTGAGGGGAGCAGCGGGCGGCAGGAGAGGTCTGTGCGCCATGTGGGACCCTCCTCCGGTGGCCGGGGAGCAGCCGGGGATTGAACCGGCGCCGCAGAGGCTGCGGGCAGCTTCACAACCCAGCGCTCAACCGCTGCGCCACCGGGGAGGCCCCTAATAAAATGTTTTAATATGTAAAACATACCTGCCAAATCATAGTGCATTTCTAAAAATACTCTCCTTACCAAAAATAGCATTGAAACAGTTGTATCAGTGATGAAAAGCATAGTTTTATAATATTTTCCACTTCTGACAGTAATAAAAACCGTGTTTTAAATAGTTATGGGCCTCCCCTGGTGGTGCAGCAGTTGAGCGCTGGGATGTGAAGCTGCCCACAGCGTCTGCAGTGCCGGTTCAATCCCCGGCCACCAGCGAGGGTCCCACATGGCGCGCAGACCTCTCCTGCCCACCCGCTGCTCCCCTCAGCAGTGTATTTCGTCAAGTCTGCCTGTTCTGTTCCCTGCTCTGTCTCTGGTGAATTCTCTCACCCTCCCGCGCTTCTGACTACCCAGTGCTTGTATAAATAAATAAATAAATAAATCTTTTTTTTTTTTTTTTAATAGAGGCATGTTTTATTTATTTATTTGTTTGTTCGTTTGTTTCGTTTATACGTGCACTGGGTACAGTCAGAAGCGCGGGAGGGTGAGAGAATTCACCAGAGCCAGAGCAGGGAGCAGAGCAGGCAGAAGGACCGAAGTACACTGCTGAGGGGAGCAGCGGGTGGCAGGAGAGGTCTGCGCACCATGTGGGACCCTCCTCTGGTGGCCGGGGAGCAGCCGGGAATCGAACCGGCTGGGAATCGAACCGGCCGGGAATCGAACCGGCCGGGAATCGAACCGTCGCTGCAGAGGCTGCAGGCAGCTTTGCAACCCAGCGCTCAACCGCTGCGCCACCGGGGAGGCCCTAAATAAATCTTTTTAAATAAATAGTTATGCAAAATAGTTACTTGCAAGTTGAAAACAGTAAATTGATTAATTAAAGCTGTCAGATACAAACCTGTTTGCTTTCCTTTTTTGCTCTGAATTCATATGGATAAGATTCTGTTTCCTCTTTCACTTTGACCTTTACCTTGCATTGTTATTTGTAGCATAAGTCACAATTATTAATAATAAACAAGAGGACAGGATGTCAACATCCAGTTGGTTGTCACTCAAGCCAAATTTATGTGTCCCAGTGTTCCAAAACATACTCTCTTATGGTTCTGGTTCCCCATCCTAATGGAGATTAACCCATGGCAGTCTACACACTATAGATATCTTCTGTATTTAATCATTTATGTTATTAAATTTTCCATACAATTGATTGTCCACACATGGGGCATATGTCAGAAGGTACTGGAACACTTAATAATTATGCTGCGGCAATAGACAAAAAATCTGGCACCCCTCTTGACTAATTAAGAAGTATGATTATCCTAATTTTGTATGTAGCATGAATTATGAAAAGTCTGTGGTCATAGAAACAACTGTATTTAAGTACATTAAGTATATTTCAAATCTGTAATCAGCATCTAAAACAAATTTCGGGCCTCCCCGGTGGCGCAGCGGTTGAGCGCTGGCTTGCGAAGCTGCCCACGGCCTCTGCGGCGCTGGTTCGATCCCTGCCTGCTCCCCGGCCACTGGAGGAGGGTTCCACATGGCACGCAGACCTCTCCTGCCGCCCGCTGCTCCCCTCAGCAGTGTACTTCGGTCATTCTGCCTGCTCTGCTCCCCGCTCTGGCTCTGGTGAATTCTCTCACCCTCCCGCGCTTCTGACTATACCCAGTGCACTTATAAACAAACATACAAACAAACAAACAAATAAATAAATAAAACATGCCTCTATTTAAAAAAAAAATAAAATAAAACAAATTTCATCTTTTGATTTGTTATTTGAAAAATAAGTTTTGTAAAAATATTTGAAAAACTTGTATTTTTTTTCCATCAGGACGATCGTTTAAGAGAACCTCTGCAAAAGCTGAAACTGGCTGTTAGCAACGTCATGCCTGAACAGCTGTTTAAATACCAGGAAGACTGCCAGGCTCGCAGTCAAGCTAAGTGTGCCAAGTGCGTCCCTCTTCTGTTGGGGCTTCCTCTCTTGAGAAACACTTGTAGCTGTTAGGTATTAGTCTTAAGTGGACTTCCATCACCAAGCAGAACATGCCCCACTGAATTGGTATAATTCAGTATTTTCTAAATGACAGTCACTTCTCATTCAATTAATTTGGGGTCAGAAGAAAAGGTCTGTTGATTTAGTATATGTGGATGTGTTCAAGGCAAGAGCCAGCCCTGGCCATACTGTTCACATTTTGATCAGTTTGACTAAACTGAGATTGTTCATAAATACGTTGTGAACTAAAAGATTAGTGTTCATGACTCATGTTATAGTTTGAAGGATTTATTTACCAAACTGCTTTATAACACATTTCAAATTCAGAGAACTATGTAGAAAGATAGATTTCCTCTTTACCCTCTCATTTGAGTTCACATTCCATTCACTTAGGTAATTGAACAAGTGTCTATGGATTATATTATAGGTAATGTTGGTTTAAAGCTCTGCTTCATAACGGGTTTTTTATTTCTAGGTTGCAAACAGATGAAGAACGAGAAAAAAATGGATCCGAGGAAGATGATGATGAAAAGCCTGGGAAACGTGTCATAGGACCAAGAAAGAAATTCCACTGGGATGACACCATTAGGTAAAATTTAACAAAAGTCTTCACTTTTAACCAAATAGATCATGCGAAAGTAAGATTCTTATAAAAAGAATCTTTGGTAAATGGTAGATTAGATTGGAAGCAAACGAAAATTAGTACATAGGAAAAATTTATTCAAGAGAAAGTTTTGTCCTAATATCCTTGGAGTACAATCAATCATATTTTCAAATACCATTTTTCATAAGCTAATCTTCTAGTTATTGAATAAATTATACGGGTCACAGAAGGTGAAGTACTTGATACACTTTTGTAATCAGTCATGTTCCTACCAGTCTTTTGTACCCCTGGCAGGGGGTATAGGGACTCTCCCTTTCAGTACTAGGTGCCTAGACTAAAGGTGTCAAAGGAAATTGTTTCATATTGGGGACTCACCTGTAGTGCTATGAATGATGTATTAAAAATTATCTCGTCATCTTCTGAATCCTTCCCATAATATACTTTATTATTGCTGTCAGATTTATGTGCTTTAACAACCTTAATTTTCTATAATTGTGCAGTCAGATGTATATATAAATATGTATTTTTAATCTGTTTAGAACTTTGTTATGTAACCTTGTTGAAATCAAATTGGGATGCTATGAGTTAGAGCCAAATAAAAGCCAGTCTGCTGAGGATTATCTTAAATCTTTTATGGAGACAGAGGTGAAACCATTGTGGCCTAAGGGCTGGATGCAGGCAAGGTAAGAAACACGACATCCTAGATTTTATTTTACTTATGTTGCTGTTATTAAAGATGTGTGTATATGCACATGATACTCATTTTGCTAAGATTCTAATGTGTTTGAGATTGTACAAGTTATCGCAAATGATCTCTGCTTTGAAAGCTTCAAGCACTTAAAAGACAAAACAGCGATTTTTTTTTTTTTTTTAATTTCACCGACCACTTTTTTTTTTTGCACTGGAATTTGCTAACAGAAAAAGTGGGCAAGGAGGGGGAGATAGTTTATGGACTTTGGAAAGGGAACACCATATATTTATATCATGAAAATAAGAAACTGAATACAAGGTTTAGAGCCTAAGAAAAAGGTTCTATTGAAAATGGACACTGTAAAGTGATATCTCACAAAGAAGAGTAGCCCTGTTTAAAGTTTAGAATTAAATGAAGAATGTTAATAAACTTGGCTATCTCAACCTGTCATCTTATTGTGTTCAATCTTAAGTCATCACAAAAAGTGTGTTGCTCTCTTAAAAGATATTTAAATAAATGGAGATGATATAAAATTTCCCATAAAAGTAGATTATTGAATTTACTGTTCATTACAACTTTTACTTGGTAAATAAAATAACCTATTGAAAAATCAAATGATGAAGTGATTATCGTGTTATCTGCTATGAAAAAATAATTGTGCCTTTTTAATTCTTCCAGAATGCTTTTTAAGGAAAGCCGGAGTGTACATAATCATCTTACTTCTGCTCCGTGAGTAAACGCAGATTTCTTCACTGATTTTTTTATTCACATTATGTTATTTGGTAAACAAAATTCTGGGTGAAATAGGAGTTAAACATATATTTAGACAATCTCCATTATATCACCACTTTTAAAAAAAGATCATTTTGTCTATTGACTGTTTAGACCATAGAACACATTTATCTATTTAAATAGTTCTCAGACTTGGGGGCCTCCCCTGGTGGCACAGTGGTTGAGCGCTGAGCTTCGAGGCTGCCCGCAGCCTCTGCAGCGCCGGTTCATTCCCTGGCCGCCGGCGAGGGTCCCACAAAAAAAAACAACAAAAAACCCAATAAATAGTTCTCAGACTAGTCTCCAAAACCTGAGTCTATCCATAAAGGAACACATTTTGGCCTGGCATCTTGTTGCAGGAGCCATGTGCACAAGAAGGCTCTGGTGGTTTCCTTTTCGCTGGGCCTCTGCCCTGCACAGTGTCCTTTGTCTTCCCCGCACAGTCACCTTCTACACAGGTAACCATAGTCTTGTGCTCTTCTCACCAATTCCACACACATGCCTGCCCTGCCTTACTTTGCAGAGTGTTTTATTCCACAAAATTAACATGCTCTTCATGTCCTTCCCTTTGTTCAAAATTGGATGTTTCCATAGTGATGTGATTATTAAAGAAAGGTCTCATCCTGGCAGGCAGTGGTAAAAAGGCAAGTTTGGGGGTGAATATTGGTTAACTACATAAAAGTTTTATTTTTACCTACAACTTAGGGCTAAGTTTAGAATTGTAGTATTAAAGGTTAATAAAATTTTGAAGTAGGGGCCTCCCTAATGGCGCAGGGGGTTAAGTCTTAGCACTTCAAAGCTATCTGGCAACCACTGCAGCACAAGTTCGATCCCCAGCCAGGGAGCTGACCCACATGGCACAGCAGACCTCTCCTACCTCAACCCCCACTCCCCTCGGCAGTGTATTTCAGTAGATGTGCCTGTTCTGGTCCCCACTCTGTCTCTGGTGAATCCTCTCACACTGCCCCCCTGCACTTCTATCCTACATCCCAGCTCTTGTATGCATAAATAAATAATATAAATCTTTAAAAATTATATATAAAAGTAGCAAATTTCTCAAAAGTTCATAGGAAGAAAACCTTGTTAGTATTCAGAAATATATTGAGTTAGTTGTGGTTTTCAGTTCTTGCTAGTGTTTTTTTGAGCATAAATTTGAGGTAGTTTGTTTTCATGTAATATAGGTTTACTTTGTTGTAGGTGGTTTAGTTATCTCTGGGAGCTAAGGGGGGAGGTGTGTGTGAGTGTGAATAACAATAGTATTTCTGTCCTTTAAATTTCATCTAGTTCAGGGCCTCCCCTGTGGCGCAGCGGGTTGAGCACCGCACTGTGAAGCTGTCCGCAGCCCCTGCAGCTCGGGTTTGATTCCCGGCCGGGCAGGGAGATTCCCACATGGTGCGGCAGACCTCTTCTGTCGCGCCTGCTGCTCCCCTCAGCAGTACTTTCGGTCTGTCCACCTTTTCTGCTCCCCATTCTCCTCTCAGCTTCCCGCACCTCTGGCCTATACCCCAGCTATTGTATAAATAAAAAATTTTTTTTAATCTTTATTAAAAAATAAATAAATTTCATCTAGTTCTCAAATCACATATGCTTCACAATTCAACTATAAGTAACTTGTCCTTTATTCTGAAGCAGAAGTTTTCTTCCTTGCTTAGTATTGTGGCTAACTTTGTATATTGTTTTGTACCAGAAAGTAGGAATCAATGGAAGAGTCGGGTCTGGAAGTCTTTTGTCCAGATGACCTTTACCAAAAGAATTTGAAATTTACTGTTGCCTTAATAAAGCTGTAGCTTGGCAGTTTTAATCAAGATACAGTTTAATTGATGACATTTTTCACTAGTAAAATAGAAATATTCAGACAATGTGAGGTATTTCAATAGATTGTGAACTCTTTAATTATTCAGCAAACATTTAAGTAGTTCCTCCTACTATGGAACCTGTGACCGTTTTTATCTCCAAAATTTTTCACACTTCTCGAAGATTCCAAGTTTCCACAGTATTTTTTCATGTCTTTTTGATGCTTTATTTGAATTTTTATATTTAAAATAATTTTCTTTAAAGAACAATAAATATTAAGCAGTGAAAAAAAAAAACTGAAGATGTAATATAATCCCGAATGCCTCTCTAGTGCTAGTCTAGGTCCTATGACCAACTGCATGTGAAAAGCTTGAAGAAATTAATTCCCAAAATGTAAATGAATAAAAAGCAAGCATTTCTTTATTATTGTTTTGTATAGTATATGATTTTATACATGTGTGACATTAACATAATAAAGAAATATGACAGAAAAAAATAATTTTCTTTTAAAACTTGAGATTTTAAGGCTAACATTTTAAATAAAACTCTTGGGATAAATTTAGTCCAAGAATTGGAATCTCCAAAGGCTAACATTTTAAATAAAAACTTGAGATTTTATTTTGTTTTTTAAATATTATCTTAAACTACTTGGCATGGTTTAATTTGAACTTGAAGTTTGCATTTACATTTAATTAAAAAAACTTGTTCTGCATTTCATATTTTACTAATGGTTTAGTCTTTCTACTAGTAAATTGAAATTGGGGGTAATGTTGTAGCTGTTCATATATAAACTGAAGACTTAAACATAATTCCTTCCTTCAAAGAGCTTTCCAAGTAGCAAAAAAAATTATTTACCCTGTAAGATTATATAATTTCCTCATAAATGATCTAAATACTATTGAAACGGCCTTCTATTTAATCTTTTGTCTTAGGGCAAAGAAAAAGGTGATTCCTGCACCTAAACCCAAAGTGAAGGTAAGAATTGAACGGAGTCATAATTGTCACAATTGGTAAATGATGAAATGCATTTTTCGTGTAAAAAGTTCCTGTATTGTTTGTCATAGATCTGTTTTGGTACTGCTATACTTTTAAGTAAACATGAGTTTACAACCTGGAAATACAGCACATATGAGGAAGTAAGTTTCTGTGAGTGAGAGTCAGCAGAAGCAACCAGCAAAGTTAGATTTATTTAATTTAGAGCATAAAAAGTTGAACTAAAATATTTTTAATATTTAAATTAGAAGAGTGGTTTAAAAATTATATAAAAGTGAATGAAACAATTGAAAGAGAGCCAAAAAATAATCTTTAGAAAGGAAACTATAATTATTTGAAATTAAAATTGTAATGAGGACCATACCCTATAGATTTTAGATTTTTCCCATCACTTTTACCTGTTTGACTAGGTGTTTCTTTGCTCGAGGTTATGGTCAGAAGGTCAATATTGTTATTTTGACTTTCTTAACTTGTAATGTTAGAGGTTCTTTGAATACAAAGTAAACAGTTCTCTTAGTTTTTTAGTAACCTACCTTGTCTTCTAATCCAAATAATATTGAGTCAATATTTTATTAAATTCTGTTGAGTTCATGTGCTTTGTTTTGACATGTGGCTCTGATTTTGCTAGAATATTAAACTTTTAGTCCCATCTAATAACGGGTTGGTTAAATTTTGATGTCTATTCAAACATGATTAATTTAGCAGAACTCAAATAATGAATGTGTTGGGATGGTATAGAGAAATTGCCCATCTTGGGCCTCCCTGGTGGAGCAGTGGGTTGAGCGCAGCACTGTGAAGCTGTCCACAGCCTCAGCAGTGCAGATTCGATTCCGGCCTGTTAGCCGGTGAGAATCCCACAGGGTGCAGCAGACCTCTCACGCCCACTGCTCCCCTCAGCAATGTTTTTCTGTCGTCTGCCTGTTCTGCTCCCTACTAGTCTGGTGAATCCTCTCACCCTCCCTTGCATATGGCCAGTACCCCTGCTCTTGTATAAAAATAAATAAATCTTTAAAAAAAGAGAGAGATATTACCCATCTTGTTTATTTCTCTGTGATTAAGTTAGTTTTCCTTTTTCCAAAATGAAAAAATAATGTTGCCAATTTGGTTTTGACTTACCCTGCTAAGTTACCTTTTTTTTAGTTATTGAAAAAAATCTCAGGGCCTCCCCGGTGGCGCAGCAGTTGAGCGCTGGGTTGCGAAGCTGCCCGCGGCCTCCGCGGCGCCGGTTTGATCCCCAGTTGCTCCCCGGCCACCAGAGGAGGGTCCCACATGGCGCGCAGACCTCTCCTGCCGCCCGCTGCTCCCCTCAGCAGTGTACCTCGGTCCTTCTGCCTGCTCTGCTCCCCGCTCTGGCTCTGGTGAATTCTCTCACTCTCCTGCGCTTCTGACTGTACCCAGTGTTTGTATGAATAAATAAATAAATCTTTAAAAAAAAAAAATCTCAAATACCTTTTTTTTTAGTTAGTAAAAAATCCTTATAGTAGAAGTACACACAATACAAAAAAATAAAGAGAAAAGTTAAAGTATCCAGGCATTTCTGCTTACTCAGAGAAAAATGTTCTTAACTTTCTGGTATGCAGCCTCCTTCCCTTCTTCCGGATCTCTGTCCCTGGCCCCCTCTGTCTATCCATTTGTCCAGCCAATAAATTTGCAATTTATTCAGATTGAATTACTATTTACATAATGTAAGTTACTATTTACATAAATTATTACTATAATTGAATTACTATTTACATAAATGCCATAATTTGCTTTTTTGATTCAAAAATACATCCTGAACAAATTTCTCTGACTCTAAATCTATCCAGTTCTCTCTTGGGTGGATTTGTTATTTATGTAAATAAAAATACTATTATTAAAAAATGGTACTTAAAGCAGCAGGTTTATGTTGCTATCGCTGTCGGTATTACCCACCTTTTGTGTCTGTACTTTTTACAGTGATGAAATTTTCACTAGTCATATAATTGGATGACATGTCAAAACAAATGTGTCTCATCTGCATTTGCCCATTCATCTTAGTGGGCAACTTTGATCTTATGTGGTTCCCTCACAGACTTCTGAGAGCCAGTGAGGTTCGCAAGTAGCCTTTTAGAGTAGAAGCTTTGAACAAGGAAGGTAGAATATAACAGTAGTCTTAACAGCTTATTTATTACTATAATACCTTAAAAGGTGACCATAAAGATTTTTCCTCTCCGTTCTTTTCCCACGGTCACTATGTAACATAAGACATTGAATTTGGGTTTATTTGGGTTGGTTTGTTTTGAAGAAACTTTTTGAAATAATATTGATGTAATAATTCTTTTTTTAACCTTAGAAATGAAACAGATCACATACTCCATATTTTCCTTTTAGAGAAAAGTTACTTTTCAGTTCCTTTGCTCTTTGAATATTTTAAGCTGTGTGCTCTAATTTTATCTCTTCCTTAAATTTTAAGGATATTAACTTTTTTTTTGGGAAACAGACAATATTCTCTTAAGTGTTAAGAATTTTAGTTCCTAACGCCCTTGTTTTTTTTAGTATAGTGCCTTCCTTTTAGTGGACAGTAAATATATGTTAAATGAATCTACAAATTACTTCTGTTTCTGGGAAGCAGAGGGAGGAGGAAGCCAAATGGACTATGGTGGAGGTGGGTGGGTGTGGTGGGTGTGATTTGGCAGCATAATATTTAAAAATGAATTATTGTATCTTTAGCTAAGTTTGTCTCAAAAAAGTAAGTACAAAACTTCTGCCATAATGACTAGAAGCCATACTTTACATTTGCTTACATTGAATCATCTGCCAGCTTGAGTACCAGTTTCTCCATGTACTGGCAATGGGTGGCTGCAGGATAGGACACACAAAGAGGCAGAAAGGTAAGAAAGCAGAAAGAAGGTTGGGTAGATTCTTAAGACAGAAGCAAACTTTCTCTTAGGTATAAGGAGACTGAAGAGAAAACTGTCTCTGAACAGATGAATTTGCAATAGGATCAAAATCTGACACAGGTGTGCAGAGGGTTGGGGCATCAGCAGTGTATTGATAGTACGTGAATGTTCCTTTAGTGTGCTCTCAAGCCGTCTTCTTAAAATGACTTCCTAAGGTGTGATCACCATGCATGATCGATACTTTGTTAGGAGGGCAGTTCAGTCAAGAGCTCTGCTCTCTCAAAAATGATTGTGGTTTTGCAGTCTCTTAAGATTTCCAGTAAATTTCAGTCATCAAGAGAGTTTCTTAGTCCTTTAAAAACGTTTTTTAAATTTTTTTCTTTATTAATCATTTATTTTCTTTCCAATGTAATGCTGTTTGTGCCAGGACTGTAGTCCAAAAAAGGACCAGAAAACTCCGGCATCCATAGTGGCTTCCGTTGGGGGTCCTTCCACAAGCTCCAGCACGTCAGCTGTGGCTTCCACCAGTTCGAGCTCTACGCCAGCCCAGGAGACCATCTGCCTCGATGACTCACCTGACGAAGACCTTTCTTTCCATCCGCCTGCGCTGGAGCTCGTGTCTGAAGCTTTAGCTGTGATCAACAATGGGAACAAGGGCCCTCCAGCTGGCTCCAGGATAAACATGCCAACAGCAAAACCTCGTCCAGGACTAAGAGAAGAAAAATTAGCAAGTATCATGAGTAAGCTGCCATTGGCTACTCCTAAAAAACTAGATTCTACTCAGACTGCACATTCATCAAGTCTTATTGCTGGTCATACAGGGCCAGTACCAAAGAAACCCCAAGATTTAGCTCATACTGGCATTTCTTCAGGCCTTATTGCTGGTTCTTCAATTCAGAACCCAAAAGTTTCCTTAGAACCTTTGCCAGCCAGGCTACTTCAACAAGGACTACAGAGGTCAAGCCAGATTCACGCTTCTTCCTCTGCACAGACCCATGTCTCCTCTTCTTCCCAAGCCCAAGTTGCTGCCTCCTCTCACGCCCTGGGAACATCAGAGGCTCAAGATGCTTCTTCATTAACACAAGTAACAAAGGTGCACCAGCATTCAGCTGTCCAACAAAACTATGTGTCTCCATTACAAGCAACCATTAGTAAATCACAGACCAACCCAGTGGTGAAATTAAGTAATAATCCCCAACTTTCCTGTTCATCCCCACTTATTAAGACTTCAGATAAGCCACTCATGTACCGCCTTCCTTTATCCACTCCCTCACCTGGAAATGGTTCTCAAGGGTCCCACCCCCTGGTTTCTAGGACAGCACCCAGCACCACTACCTCCAGTAACTATTTAGCCAAGGCTATGGTGTCACAAATCTCCACGCAGGGTTTCAAATCTCCCTTCTCAATGACTGCAACCCCCAAACTTGCCGCGTCTCCAAAACCTGCCACATCTCCTAAACCCCTGCCCTCATCTAAGCCTTCAGCCTCACCCAAGCCCTCTCTGTCAGCTAAGCCTTCAGTATCAACTAAACTTATTTCTAAATCGGCCCCAACTCCCAAGCCTACTGTGTCCCCCAGCTCTTCCAGCCCAAATGCACTAGTAGCCCAGAGTAGCCACTCCAGCAGTAACAGCACAGGCCACAAGCAACCCAGTGGGATAAATGTCAGCAGACAGTCTCCCACCTTGAATTTATTACCCTCCAGTCGCACTTCAGGCCTTCCGTCTACAAAAAATCTTCAGGCCCCTTCAAAGCTAACAAACTCATCATCCACTGGAACTGTTGGGAAGAATAGCTTGAGTGGAATTGCAATGAATGTACCTGCCAGCAGAGGTAGCAACCTTAACTCAAGCGGAGCAAGTAGGACTAGTCTGTCTGGGGGAACAGGAAGTGGAACACAGGGTGCTACTAAGCCGTTGTCTACTCCACATCGACCATCCTCTGCCTCAGGGTCTTCAGTGGTGACAGCCAGTGTGCAGGTATGTATGTCACAAACGTTCATGTGTTAAACTGTAAGATTGTGCCGTTTTTCTTGTGAGTCGATTTAATCAACTCAGTGCAATAGGTGGGTTGTTTGTAACAGGCCTGTGTTGTTTGTGAACACTCCTGATGGTGACATCATAGCCCTCGGGACCCCTGGGGGCAGGGTTTTTGTTGCCATGTGGGTCTGTTTTAAATACCACATGTGTGCTTTCAAAATTTTTAAAAAGCACAACTAATATGCATATTTAAAACTATATCTTAACAAAGTTCAGATCAAACTAGTGACTTCTGAGCTTCACTTCACCTGTCTCCTCTCTTCCCACCCTAGTCCCCTCTCTCCTGACAATTTTCTTATATTTTTTATTTAATCAAATTTATACATTCATGTTATTTCCCTTAACCGTTTGCTTTTTCAAATAAAATTTTTATTTTGCATGAATTTTGCACTTGTTCACACGTAATTCTTTGTCGAATTAGTGCGAGTCATCCTTTTATATCACAATCTCCCCATTTATGAGTTTTTAATTTAAATTTCTATCTCTCAGCCAGCAGGAGAACTTCACTCAAGGAATCTTTGCAAGAAAGATAACGTGAAAGATACTTTACTTTAGCTCTTGCACCTTTATCTGTGCTGTCACACCTGAATAGGTAGAGCCTGCTTGGGTCGCTGCCTTTCCAGGTTTTGCAAATACTGTTCCTCTGACCTTCCTTATTAATATTTATGTTTATCATAGATCAGTCTGAGGCCATTCTGGTTTGTTGTTCCCTTATATTTACTCTGACTCTCTGCTGAAATTCTAATAAGTTTTCTTTTTTCCTTGAAATTCAAGTGTTCCCCAGCCATGGCTAGGTTTGTCTAGTTTTCATTAATTTTATACCCAGAGCATGGTGCTATCTTTCAGTTAGGAATAGTATGTTGTTCTATTATGCATCTGGTTATTATTTCTGGCTCTTTTGGCCTAGGTTTTTGGGTGCTCTTATTACTGACATATTTCCTCTCTGGCTCCTATATCATCTTCTTTCATATTCATCATCGTTTTGCCACTTCTTTGTATTCTGAGACTTTCTCAGATTTGTCTCTCACAGTATTGATTTGGTTTCTTTAGCATTCTTCTTTTCTCTGAAATGGTTTTTACTTATTTCACAATATTTATGTTCACTGTAGACAAATTATTACTGTGTATCATAACCAGCTTTTTAAAAAATACATTTTATGATATGTTAGTGTTTATTTTCTTTGTCTATGAAAATATGACATTGATTTATGCAATTCTGTACAAGGAAATGCTCCTACTTTGCACTGCCTCCTGTTTCTCTCTCTCGTGGTGTTTGTCGGAGTTCCCTGCTGTTCAGTACACTCTTAGGTGTTGCTATTCAATATACACTCAAAATCCAAATCACCCCTCTGCTGTCACTGTAGACTTAGCTGATAAATTTATTTCAAAATTCTAATATAGAAATAAATTTTATGTAACTGGTACTGCCTTAATTGAAATCTAGAATTAGTGAATATTTTATCTATATAATTTTACTTTCATCAGAAGTAAGAAAATAAAAAAAATCAAGCTGATATTAAGAGTTAAATGTTAAAATTTAAGTTACAAGTAAGGACCAGGAGTTAGCCCACATTCCTGTTAATATTTTCTTAGTTAAAATGTTGGGTATTTTTGAAATCTGTAGTTTGATTATATTGAGAGAATTATAACAGAATGGCTGTCACCTGCCAGCCTTCTTTCTAGTGTCAGCTATTTTGAACTCTTAGCCATTTCTGTTTTTAATAAAAATGAATGGGAGACTCTTGATTTATCAATTTTTGTATTATCTTTTGTTTTCTCTTTATGAAAAATGAGGCTTTTAGCTCTATTAGACCTATCCCATTTTCTTAAAAATATGACAACTCTTGATTAAATTCCATGACTATGTAAATACTGTGTTTGTTGAGTAGTATCATAAACCAGTTTCATTTACTTATAATTTTTTTACTTTTTTCCTGGAGTTAAAATTTATTTTTCACTTGCTTTGTTTTCTTTGAATTTAGGTTAACTCTCCATCCTCTGTCATCTCCAGCATCTGTTGATTCTTTTTTTTTTTTTTTTTTTTTTCCTGGAAACCATCTTATATGATCATTTACATAGCCCCACGCACGCACGCACGCACACAATAACCACACACATCCCCTTTACTTGTTTTGTCAGCAAGAAACCTACATGGCAAAATCTGTGCTTCAAAAACATAACTGCTTCCTCCTGGTTTGGAGACCTCAGTGTTCATGCCTTCTTATCTGACCACTTTTGTTTGGTTTTACTGGTTTGATGGGAAAGAACAACAATAATTGAATAAAGTTTTTTTGCCTCTTGTTGAATCTAAGCTTTTCTTTAGCATCTCACTGAAATCTTATTAGCTACCTTGTGGCCCTTATTGCTCTCCAGCATTTCAATACTAACAGTTACTCTATCTCTGCCTACAAAATGTATCTCCTGTCTGAGAGGGACCATCAGCTGTGTGCTCATTTGCAGGGTGAAAATGACAGGTCCTTAGTTTAATGGAAGTTGAAATCCTTGGTTATTACCTTTACTGCTTTCTATTTGATAAACTTCTCACTTCTTTCTTGCCTTTCAAGTTATCGAATTTTTGTAAATCCTGTCTTTGCCACTTTATGATTTCCGAAGTAATTTATTCACTAAGCACATGTTTCTAAGGTGTTTAATATGTGCCAGGCACTCTTCTAGGTGCTGGGGAAATAAAGTGAACACCAAACTCAAGATCCTCCTCTCTTTCAGAACGTATAGTCTAGAAAGGAAAATAAGCAAAACATTAATTTTTAAAAATATTTTAAGGGCTAATAAAAAATGAAAACAGACTAATATGGGGGTGTTAACATAGCTAAGGAAGTCAGGGAAGACTGCTTGGAGGAGGCAGCATTTAAGCTGGCAATTAAATGAACAAGAGCCAACCATAAGAGGGAGTAAATAGTCTAGACAAGAGGGCTGGTCTGTGTGAGATAGGAAAGACCGTGGCATGAAGGCCTGTTCAGCTGGACTGGGCAGAGGTGATGGGTAGGTCATAGGGCCAGAGGTGAACCAGAACCATGAGGTGGAGGACCTTGTGGGCCATGATAAAGAACTTGATTCTGTGTGTAATGGGAAGCTGTTCGAGGATCTTTAGCCAGGGGAGTGGTATGGTCTGACTTGCATTTCAAAAGGTCATTCTGTATGTTTGGAGAGGGAACAGATGTACTCACCAAAATAAAGCTTGGTTTAAAAAAAATGCAGTGCTCACCACAGGAAGGGCAAGGTTCCCCTTCATATTTTCCTCTGAAATGAGATGTGAAGCTAGTGGAAACGATTTTGGATTATGGGGCATTATCCTGCTGCTTACCCACTTCATGTTAACAACTTGTGCTGTGTCTTCCAAGTAACATCAAGCGTGGGATACTCCACTTATGGAAGGTCTCTGCCCTCTAACAGGAGAAATGCCTGTGTAACATTTGGTTCATCTGGTATAATATTTTACTTTTATGAACAAATAAAGGTGGATATGGGGAGTTTCAAAGACTTTTCTTTATCAGCAATTTTTAATGTTACACAATAAAGGGCCTTACTTGGAGCGAGTTGGAGTGTGTGCCCTCTCTTACCCTGAGACTACAATAGAATTACGATTAAAAAGACGAAAACACTCTTGTTCATTTTTAAATCAATGTGGGATCCTTTCTATCCAAGATGCTTCAAAGTATTATTATTTCTAACTTAGTAATTCTTTCTGAATTACTTTCTGAATTTGTGTATCGAGATTGGCACAATAGAGGAAAGACGGGCAAATCCATAGACAGGTGTGAATATCAGGTGCTGACACTTTCTACTTAAATGCTGGGGGAAGCTATGGTTAAAAAAAAAAAAAATGAATGGTATATGGTTATATGCTGACTTGTGAGCTCATCTTGTCCTTCATTTTATGATGCTTGAAACCAGGAAAGAATGAGACTTGATGGTAGCAATGAACATAGTGGGGCGGGTGGGGGGGCCGGGGGGCGGGGGCTGAGAGATTGCTAAAGATAATGTGTTCAATTGCTAGGTCTGCAAGTTTCAGATATCCAGATGGAATTACTCACTTAAGATGAGAGGTTAAAACTATGCATATACGTTTGAGAGATGACAAATAAAGGAGATAGAAAAGGGGAGGCTATTGGAAAATGATGGGAAACCCCAGAACATTCTAGGGGAACATCCACCATTTTTTGCTTAGCAGTGACATGGACCATCAAGTGCATAGAGACATGTAATGCAGCATACATGTGTGGGGAAATCACATGTATTAACTAAGAAATAAGATAACCAGCACTTATTAATAGTAATGTTTACTGGTAGAAATGATCAACTCACAGAATAACTTGAAAACAGCTAACATTTATGATTGACTAAAATCTTCAAAGTAGTCCATTTTTCTTCACTAAATTTAGAGGTTTTTTGTTTTGTTTTTTTTTTACATTTTAAAAGGACAGGTTTATTAGAGAAAGGAAAAGGAAAAAGAGAAGCTCCTGCACAGTCATGGGCAAGCAGGAAGAACTGTAAAAGTTTTGTGTTGTGTTTTTTTTTTTTCCTGCCCTCCCTCCTGCCGGCCCTCCCTCTCTCCCAGAACTATAAAAGTTTTAACCAAAGAAATTTAGAGTTGGTAAAATAAGGCTACGAAAGAAAACTCATAGTTGCAGAAACTACAATCTGTGATGCTGGGGAAGTTTCATTGTAACCTTTGATCATTACATGTAGAAAAGAAAAATGTCAAAATGGGAAAAACTTAATTGCTGTATAGAAAGTAGTTTAAAGATATTGAATTATCTTGAACGGGAATGTTTAAGTAATTTCTCAATGAAAGCTCGTCAGTGTTAGCATATTTTTTGATGTATTTTTCACACATCAAAACATTGGCATCAAAGCTTGAGGGTGGGGTATGTCGAAACACTCTGTGATTTGCCTTTTACCATGGAGCATCTAAGTTCAGAAAAGTAGTGAAATGAAACCAGCTTTCAGGAGTTAAGGAAAGAAGAAATGAAGTGGCATTCAGTAAGTTTGACAATGAAAGGGACACAAATAACTCAGGTTGTTGCTAAGGAATACCAGCAGGCTTGTAAAAATAAACAAAGCGGTCTCTGTATATATATACAGAGAGGAAACCCAGAAAAGGTGCAGTACAAGTTGTTTGCCCCAGAAAGTTCTGCAGAGGTGGGATTTGTAGCAGAGTTCAGGTGGTTAACCTCTGAGAAAGAGTCAGGTAGGACTGATGATGAGGCATAACATCCAGATGGCCTCATCTCTCTCTGTGATAACCATGGAAATGAAGGATACTGAGTTAGGAGCTCTAGAAGCAGAATAGCCTGGAACAGCAACTGCAGGGATTGTGCCAGGAAAGATTATCAGACAAGTAGGAAGATTACCAAGCATTTTCAGAGGCCAAATTGAAACTGGAATTAATAACTAGTGGTTCAGATCTGGGGACTAGGAGCAAAAATGGAAAAGTAGGAATCTAAGGTAGAAATGAGTGGATTAAGAGTGAGTACATGTTGATATTGGCATTAAAATAACAGTATCTGGTGATAAATAGTTAAGTATAATCATATTTACAAAACCAACATTGATAGCTCTTTGAAATATATTTTTTTCTCAGTCAGTCTTCATTTCTGGCTCACAAAAGTTTCTGTTAGAGTAGATATAAGACACAGTATTGCACCCATGAGGATATTAAATAATTCAGGTTAAAGACTTGATTTCTTATGTATTTTGACCCCTGGTTTCTGCAGTCCACAGCAGGAGCATCATTATTGGCTAATGCCTCACCTCTGACTCTCATGACATCACCTTTGTCTGTAACAAATCAAAATGTGACTCCTTTTGGGATGCTGGGTGGCCTTGTTCCAGTGACCATGCCCTTCCAGTTTCCCTTGGAGCTACTTGGCTTTGGAGCGGACACAGCTGGAGTGACAACCACGTCGGGATCTACCTCAGCCGCTTTCCACCATAGCCTAACTCAGAGTAAGTGGGCTCTTCTCACAAAATGTATCTGATCGAGATTAGTCCAGTTGGAGTTAGTGAAGATGACAGAATTTTTTTTTAATCATTGCACTTTATTTCATCTATGTGTAAGTCCAACTGGATTCTGAGATCTCATTTACAGTTTTTAATAAGCCATCTATCTTTCTTTTAATGAAATTTTAATAGAAAACCAAGTGTGCTGGGTTATTTGCATACATAGGCATTTACAGATGCAATTTTTAAAAATTTATGTTAAGAAGGTCTTTGAAGTCAGGGTCTGTGCTTGCATTAGATAAACTTTGCATTTTTGATCTAAGAGCTCAAATCTTCATTTTAAGAAGTTACTAACAGGTGTGTTCTCCTCTCAGATTTACTAAAGGGTTTACAACCAGGAGCTCAGCATGCAGCAACGCTTTCCCACTCACCTCTGCCTACACACTTACAGCAAACGTTTCATGGTAAGAAAACTACTGATTTCTTCAGCTCTTTATTTATATAGAGTTATAATGTAGATTCTCAGTCTCTTCTGAAAATAATGTGAATGGAATGACAGAGGGTAGAAAGCAAATTTTCATGGCTGAATCCTCATTAACAACAAACTCCTTTTAAGAAAAGGGCATCAGTAAATGAGATCTTTCGTCATATGTAAAGAGCTGCATTTTGAATGTGTTACATGTTCATGATCACAAAGAAAGGCCCATGGAACTGTATAAAATTCATGTCTAGCATTTATAATAGTTGATTAAAAATGTAAGTGCCAGATAGTCTTGTGACTACTGACATATATTAGCAAATTTAATCCTTACAAGAAGCCTGTGAGTGAGGTAACAGCCTCCATTTTACACATCTGGAAACTGAGAAGTAAGCGCTTACCCAGGGTGATGCACTAGTGTTATATCTGAGAAACAAGCCCAGGAAGTCTGACTCCATAGCTTGTGTTCTTTTTTTTTTTTTAAGATTTATTTATTTATGCATATAAGAACTGGGGTACAAGCCAGAGGTGTGGGGGATGAGAGGATTCACCAGAGACAGTGGGGAACAGAACAAGCAGATTGAAATCTACTGCTGAGGGGAGCAGTGGGTGAGACAGGAGAGGTCTGCTGCTCCATGTGAGTATCTCCCTGGCTGGCTGGGGATTGAACTCGTGCTACAGTGGCTACGGACAACCTCATAGGTTGCGTCTTAACCCTGTGCACCACCAGGGAGGCCCCATAGCTTGTATTCTTAACCATTAAACTTCTCTGCCACTTAGTGGTGTTAATATGGTCCAAACTGTAGACATTATACTGACAGTCCAACTAGATCTCTCTGAAATTAGATCGTGGACTCTGAACACAACACCTTGACCTCCAGCTTCTTGCTCCTATCCACAGCTGACATCAGTAGACAGCTGATAGTGTAGTGAAGGCGAAGGCCATTTTCTGGATCTTTGAGCAGAAGTAACTATAGAGCTGCCCTCTTAGCTTGACTGGTGCCTTGCTGTTCTTTTTGGCCGCTGCATTTAAAATGATCTTTGGACACATTTACGGCTGACCACAATGTGAAAACGGAGCTATGTAGCAATCTCCAGGCAACAGGCTGTAATTAACGGTCTAAAAGACCTAAGCGGTGAGCTGCCTGAGGTTTGCCCCTTGAGAGAATGGATATAATACCAAAGTTGTATAAATGGGAGACATAAAGTGGGTACCGATGGGGCCTCCCTGGTGGCACAAGGGTTTAGGTCTCAGCACCATGAACCTATTAACAGCCATTGCAGCACAAGTTTATACCCAGCCAGGGAGCTGACCCACAAGGCACAGCAGACCTCTCCTGTCTCGCCTGCTGCTCCCCTCAGCAGTGTATTTCAGTAGACCGCCTGTTCTGCTCCCCACTCTGTCTCTGGTGAATCCTCTCACCCCCCACACCTCTGGCCTGTACCCCAGCTCTTATATGCATAAATAAATAAATCTTTAAAAAAAAAATGTGGGCACCTAGGTCAGCTATCCTGATCTTCCTGAACTCCCGGATTAGGTTTTAATGCTTAAGGAGGATTGCCCTGTAACTGAAGCAGTTCCACCCTTCGTTTTGGCAACGGTGTGATGTGGTGATACAGCTTCTGGCCAAGGCTTCTGGGGCAGATGAACCGTGCAGAATTAGATAAACAGGATTCTCATTTAACATGACCCTAGTTTTCCAACTTTTATATGAATAATCTTGCTGTCTGGGAAGCACCAGTGTCCTGGAGGGAGAAAGAACATATGACTCTCAGTATTTTCCGAGTAATTGAAATGAAAAAGCTCACACCTTTTTATTTTAAAAGCATTTTAAAATATAAAACTCAAAATTTGAGTCAAGCTTGGAAGTCTGAATTCCAGCACTGCTATTTTGCGCAGTCTCTTAACTTCTTTCGCCATCACTTCTCTTGCTTAGAAACTGGACAAGATGATTTTAATAGGCTTCTTATGAGTATTTAATAAAAATTTTTTTAGCATGGTAAAAAATTAGCATGGTATCTAGTCCACAGTGTTAATTATCCAACATTAACTAGTCCAAAGCAGGAGTCTTGGTTTTCCATAAATGTCCAAATAGTAAATGTTCTAGGCTTTGTAGATCACAGAGTCTCTAGTGCAAATACTGAAGTTGGCCACTGAAAACTACCTTAGTCAATTTGTAACACTAGTGTGCCTGGGTCCCAATAAAGCTTTATTTATTTTCATTTAAAGGGGGGGCATATTTAGTCTTTGGACCAGAGTTTGCCACGCCCTAATCTTGAGAATCTCACAGTCCAGTTAATATGAATATTGTTAACAACTGAGTAACACACATTTCAACTGCACAGGTCCACTTACATGGGGACTTTTTCCTCTCCCTGGATACCAGAGATGTCAGTTAGTTGAATCTCTGGATGGGGAGCACACACACTCACACACTAATTTAATCCTTGTTGTTCAAGAGTCATCTGTATTTTATTTTTCTGATTAACCAGAGCTGCTTTGAGTAAAATCACATTTGAAAACTACCTTACTATTTTGTTTATTTATACTTCAAATGGAATCATTTCTCTCACAATATGTAATATTACATTATAAAATGAAAAACCGTGTCCTTCAATATTGTCAACAATTATTTTAGTAACAGTTTGCTTGTATAACTTATGAAATGGCACCTTGTTTCATTGGTAAATCTTCTCTTTAATAATGGAAGCTTTCCATTATGTTTATGTAACGTAACTCTCACAAGTGGGCTTAGCAGTGTGACCTTTTTGTTCTCCCCCAGCCTTAAGATGTTAATTGCGATACAGCAGTATATCCCTCTTCAGGGCCTCCCTGGGGGCACAGGGGTTAAAGTCTCAGCACTGTCAAGCTATCACCAGCCAGGGAGCTGACCCACATATGGTGCTGTCTCACCCGCTGCTCCCCTCAGCAGTGCATTTCAGTCGATCTGCCTGTTGTGCTCCTACTCTGTCTCTGGTGAATCCTGTCACCCCCAGCACCTTTGGCCTATACCCTAGTTCTTGTATGCATAAATAAATAAAATAAATCTTTTAAAAAAAAAGTTCCTCTTCACCTGTGGATTTCTACCATTCTCCCCCCACCCCCTTTCTTTCTTTCAGACCTGGGGTGGGGAAGTGGGTGGGTGGGTATTTTCCTTGCTATGATAATGGCTCCTTAGAGACTTTCTATTTTCAGCACTCATGGTCATGGGTTCTGCTTTTTCTAGGAATCATCTTTTTCTCAACTCTTCCAGTTTTATATTTAAATTGCCTAAGGTTTAAATTGAGTCATCATCATTTTCCCTGTAAAAGTTAACTAGCCACATGTAAAAATAGAAACCTTCCCAGTAGTAGATTTTCCTGTCACAACTGTTGCCAGATTAGGACCAAAACACAGACTCAGCTGTTTTTTTCACTACATTTGTGTTCATTTACTTAAATACTTGAGAACTATCGAATGCTATGTCACAATATGGAATTTAATTTCACTTGCAGGAAAATGGAATTATCTTTGTCTTCTAAAGGAATTAAAAGATGGGGTAGTCCTTTGAAGGTGGAGAGTAGGTCTTTTGTTTATAATCCTCACTGTTTTTGACACAACTGGCTATGAGACTGGTGATACTTGTTGAAATAATATGTGTGGGATACTGGGCTCATTGCCATTTGAGATAAGAGGATCATTCTGATGAGTTTTTATCACCTTCATGATTTTCTCACCCCTCTGAATACTGTAGCAGGTAAGATATTAAAGGTTATCTTTTTAGCAGTGTCACCCACATGAAAATTTAAAAAATGTGTTGTTCTTATTGCTTTGTTTTTCTTACCTATTTTTTATAACAGGCTGACCCATTCCAATAAAATATCTCTTTTTTCAGATGGAGGCCAAAGTAAAGGGGACACTAAATTACCACGGAAATCTCAGTGACACCCCAGCAAGCCAAGGAGATGAGACACTCAGCTGGCTGATGGAGTCTCCCTGATGGGAAGTACTGTGTGGTCATAGGGCTGCTGTTCTGTCAATGTTTACATTCTCGTCCCAAGCACTGTGGTGAGGAGGAAAAAAGAAAAGAAAACATACTTGAGTAAAGCCAGGTGCAGGAGGAAGAAATGCTTTCATGCAAAGTTAGTGACCTTTGGTCTCTTCTAAAGAAAGACAGAGTTACCATTTTAACTGACTTGAAAAAGACTCAGTTGTCAAACCCACAGAAGTACAAATTTGATTTTTCCCCGGGAGAGGTAGAAGAAATTGAGGATTTGGGTAAACTCCATCCATCTTGGGGGTTGGATCTGAACACTTGTAGAAGGAATTGCATAATAAAAGACGAGATATCTGGAATTAGGCCAGTTTGTCAGGAATAACAATCATGTCTATTTGAATGGACTATGCAGCAAATTTACCACAAAAAAATTAATGACCCTATGTCTGATACAAACAGTAACAGAAAATACTGTACCCTCAGAAATCCTGAGCAAACTTGAATCTTCTCCAGTGTGTAGCAACTCCCCGTGTAAATCAGTGGACTAAAGATGCTTCAGGAAAGTTATTTTAGCACAGTGATATATATTATTAAATCATGGAGATTTTTAAAAGTCAAGAAATTGAGCCTGTTGTTGTTAACAGATGAAACTTAGATGTCGCCTTTTTGTAAAAGGGTCAATTTCATCTTCCATTTAGAAGCAGGTACTTCACTCTCTTCTTCAGGTGATTTATGCATCTGTATCGACTGGTTAATTCTTATTTCCATTCTTGATGTTAAAATGTGATTGTGTTCACATTTTTCTCTTGAGAAATAGGGATCTTTGATGTAGGGCTGCAGCTTTGGTGCTCTTAGCCCTTGAAGGCCTACCAATATGAACTGTAAATATCCCCCGACTTCACCTCAGTTCACAACCTCTCCTGCTGTTCTTTTAGCTAGTGGTACTTCAGGTGATATTAACTATTGATAGACACAGGTATAAGTGTATATTACATATGCTTCTTTCAAATGGCATATATATATATTTTTGCAATTTTTAAGATGGTATTTTAAAGGGAGGAATTACATTAGGATCATTATGTGTACAAGGAATTATTTTTTATAACAATCAGTGTATTTTTACTCCCTGTATCCAGTATAGTGAAATTGGTTTGGAGCATTTGGGATCTTAAAGCTTTACTAATTCTTACTGAGAGTGTTGACATGTGAGTAAACCTGCGCATTGGACTCCTTGGTTCCTACAGCTTCCTTATGCAAATAGGATGTTCAACAAAGGATGTTGAAGAAATTTATTCACTTTGAATACATTTTATTTAAATATTTTTTGCCTCATCATTGTTCTAGATTCTCCCCCTTTCTCCTCGTTCCCCCTCCATCCCCTTCCTCGATATTTAGACTTCTTAGGCTGCAGGACACTTTCAAACTGTACCCAAGAAAAATGGAAACTTGGTCCATTTCTAATGACAGACTCCCCTAAAAACAGCATCAGATTGGTAGTAGCAAGATTTCTTACATGTTTTTTCATTACCAATCTCCCTGAAGCATTAAGATTATTAAAGAAAGATATCAACTGGGTCCTTTTTTCCTTTTATGAACAAAAGTCCCAAATAACTTATGGGAGTGTGAATAAATTACCACAGATCTGCATGCCTGTGTTTTGACTTCAGTCACATTGGCTTCCTTTCATAGCAAAAAAAGTTAGTAAGTAACAGAAAACTTTTAATTCCAAGAATTTGTAAGGGAAAAGATTATTTAAAAGGAATTACTGATATAATACTTGCCTCTAAGAATTTAGTTTACCAGTAAACCAAGTAAGAACATTGTTATCAACCCCGACAGATATTTTGGAATGTTGCAGAGAGGTTTGACTTGACTTGGCTGTTTGATTAAAATTTGTTTTTTTTTGATTAGTGAAACTTACCTGATTCTTGTTATTCCACTGTAATATACCTCTTGCTTTTATCCAATTTGGAGAGAGGAGGAAGTCTTGGCTAAAGCTATGGAGGAATTTTCTTTGGGAAAGCTAGCCTTTGTATTCACTTCCCCATCCCTGAAGAGAAATCAGAGTGCACATGAATCTCTTCTTACTGATAACAGTGCGTGTCTTCCTCTCTCGGTGTGTATGTGTCTGTACACATATATGCATTTATATATACATTCATTATTAAAGTCAAGAAGTAACCGTTCTAATTTCTTAAATCCATCAGTTCTGAATCATGCCGGGAGAAGACCCAGCCTGACTCTTTATTGTCACTAAAGAAGAAAAGGATTATCATTTCTTCCCCTCAGTGTCATTTTATGCCTAACCAGTAAAAATAATCTGAAGGCCCTTGGGTTTGAAAAGTTCACATACATGGAGATTCTGTTCTGTTCTCTGTGGTCTTGATTCTTTGAGGGCGGCTGCCAGATCTCCACCCCAACCCCACATGCACATTTTCATGTCTGACTTACTTGCATTTCAATCAAGACAGCACTTTTATGTTGTAGAAATTAAACAGACATCCTTATATTCTTAATAAATGAGTATAATCAAAGCGTTCCTACATGTAAATACAAAACTGTTTCTTTTCTAGATCATGACATTGAAAAAGGTGTCCATACTTTATGGTCACCTATCTTTATAGTTTTTCTAACTAAAAACAAACATATAAATTGGTTATTTTTTAGCACAGAGACTTGTGAACCATACAGTATTTTTGCACTTAAAAGTCAAATTATGTTATTTTTTAAAATGGTGAGTAATTGGAAAGGATATAGAGCATTGTGTATTTCTGAAGAGCATTAGCAACATCCCAATGCAAAATTAATCAGCACACTTAATTATATCCCAGTCAGTGGGATTCTTGATTCAGGAAGATTAAGCTGTTTGTTTTCAATTGTCTTGTGTTTTAAATTGCCTTCACTGATGTGTAAGCTGTTACTGTACATACCAGTTAATCCTCAGTATTCACAAGCAATAATGGTCAGCAGAGTTGTCTTCAGAGATAGCTGTGCTGAGCCTCAGTTGGAGACTGTTTTTGGGAGCAAAGTGTCAAGCTCATTCAGAGCCCCCAGAATAAGTGCAAGCAATAATTTCCATTAAAAGGTGATTATAATTCTTTTTCATATGCTTCTGAGATCAGAGGGTAAAGGAAGTCATGATTTTAACAGCCTAAAGAAAAAGGTTTGGGGAAAGGAAGTTAATCTGAAGTCTCAAAATCTTGATGTTTGAGGAAATTGGAGGAGTGTGTCAGTACATTGTTTCATGCCTACCACCCCTTTGATGGATGTCGTTAGCCCAAATTACAGTTTTTATATCACAGAAGTTGAGTAGGGTTTACTGTATCACCAAGGTAAGAGGAAGAACCGGGCACATAACATGTTTTTGAATACTGTGGGTTTGACACCTGTTTAAAAATTTATTAGAAAAGATTTTTAACCCAGGATTTTTTTCCCAAAGCAGATCTAAATTGTTTACTACCCAGGGTTGGAAAGGGCAGCCACCTCTAGTCTTTCTTCTCTGGTGCCCTCTACCACACCCCTTTCCACCTCTACTTGGTTCAAGACATTTTCTGAAATGGAAATTCTACTGTTATTCAAACTGCCATTGATTATGAGAACTCTATGTCCCTTGGGATCATCTCTTAGAACACCAGTTATCATGTTTGCTGCTACATTTGTAAGATGAAATTTGCCTGTATTGGTCGACTTTAATTTACAGTTCTTTTATTTCTAGATGGTTTTGTCATAAATTTGACCCATGTATAGAATTAGGATACTTTGTTTTAGGAGTGTACCATAAAAAGCACACTGGTCCCTGTATTCTTTTTATCATCTAGGTTTTATGTTTGATTCTTTTGTTTGTTGGTGTTTGTTTTATTTTGTTTTAAATTAGAGATAGGAAGAGTGAGAATAATCTATCATCAGGCCAAACTTGAGAACTTTCCCTGTGCTTCAGCACGAGTTTCTGCTGACCTTATGTTCTCAAAAAGGGCACTTTTACTTTTTATTGTGCATGTATGATTGTTTTTTTGTTTTTGTCTTGTTTTTTGCTGGGGGGCTTTTGTTTTTATAATAATGAAGCAGAAGAAAAATGCAGTAGTAGGTAAATGACTTATCACAAATATGTTATGCAATTTTATTTTATAAAATGTAGGGAGAAGGAGAAAAGTTTAACTCTGTAAATCATTTCTTAGCTCTGATAAAATTCTTATATTGCTCCTCTAAAACATGTTCAATTCAGGCCTTTGTCTTTGTTAAGTGCCTTTTTTTTTTTTTCCTTTCTTTTCCCCCTTCTTTTGAAACTGTTCTCAGATATTTTAAAGTACAGGCTAATAAGTCAGGGGATTCAGGAGGAAGAATCACAAACTTGCCAACGTCATGTCATGCTGTAATGTTCTTCCTTTATTTATATGTATATGGATATATGTGTAAGAAGCATACATACATATATATGTACATATATATGTATACATATGTAATATATATAAAAACTAGTAGCTGCTGTACCATTGCATCCTTTCCCAAGAGCCCCCTCCCCCTTCAATGTTTGCAAAACTTCTGCCTTGTTTATTCCATTGCTTTTAGTGGATTCAAGTGGGTGGATGGGGAAATTGTTTTTTTAACAAGATGCTGTCATCCCCCTTTGAATATCTGTTTGTAGAAGTTAACAAAAAAATACATATATATATATATAATAAGTCAGTTATTACAAGTAAAATAAATTTAGTAGACTCTGACTATTCCTGGATGTAATCCACTGCTCTGTGCCCTTCAAACGCGGCATCAGTACTATTGGAGAAAGCATTGGAATAACAAGAGTCTGTTGTGGGTCAAGTTGTTAAGGTGCACTGTGGCAGGCGAGACTAAGGATTCTGGGAGCGCTACCATTAGAAGCATGGTGGTGTATCTGAATAAGTTTTGAAGGAAGTTAGCAACTTTGTCAACATTAAAAAGGTGTCATATTCTCTTCTGGGAAATGATTTTTGTAGAATTCATATAGCTGCATATACATCAAAAGGCTTATAAAGTTACAAGTAACAAGACTTCAGATACTGAGGAAACACTCATATGACCTGTAACATTCTCGAGACATCTTCAGTTTTCTTTTTATTTGCCTGCTAATTTGACTTAATCTGTTTTTAGGGTCATTTAGATTTCTCCCTTGACCAAATTAATAATTTTCAGTATCTAATACTTATCTGTTTCTTGTGAAAAGAAAACAGATGTGATGTATTAAGGGACACTAAGTTGTAACAATCTTCAAAACCCCATTCAAATACATCTAATAAGTGCCCCCTTTTAAGTATGTTTTAATTGGGAAGAGGAAACTGGTGACTAAAGAGAAAGCAGAGGCTCCTGGTAATGGTACCTGATAGCAGCTGTTGCCAGGTGGCCTTAGTCCGGTTGTTTGTTCTTCTTGAATCACTATGTTGAGGGGGAACACCATTTAACCTTTGTGCCTGAGATTACCCATTAGAAAATTGGGTATAATAATGTTCACCTACCTCCCAGGGATATCAGAGATTTTTCTCTTTCAAAAATATTTTGATTTTTTTTCTAAAATGTCCTATATAATTAAACATAGTTTTATCACCGTTCTGCAGAGGCTAAAAATATTTCCCTATGATGGGCATGAAAAGCATCGTATGATTTTTAAAATTTAAAAACAAATGACTGGAATTATAATTTAGATGCATATTTGTTTTTTACACGTTATATTTGGTGGGATAAAATGGTTAGTTTGGAGTCAGTAAGTGGGGGAGGGGATAACACTAAGTTTCTTAACTCTAAGTAGATTTTTAAACTTTTTATGGTGTTATTACATGTGTGATTTTTGCCAAGGTTGTGGAGCTAAAACTAGATGAGGTTTGGTGCTTGGTTATTGGAGTTGCTAAATGATCCTGAAATTTTTATCTGCCTCACTCTTCCGTCTTCTCAGTCTAATTTCCTTATCACACACGTGTGTCTGGTGATGGATAGCTAACCTTTTAACTTTCTAAAAATGAATGGGAGCCGCCTCAGTCTTGCGATGCGGAGCTGGTGTGTGTACTCTTCTGCAGCGCCGAAGGGGCGGGCACCACACTCAGCAGCTGAGAACCCTTCGCCAGTCTCCCTTGTCATTTCTGCTTCTGTAGCCTATGAAAACGCTGGAGCCTCCAGCAGCTCCCGTTGTAGGAAAATTGGAATCGGAACGGGAGGCAGGCTTCCCTTCCTGTCTGGGGTGGGGGTGGGGGTGGGGGCGGGGGCGCTGATAGAAGGAAGCCTGTTTTGTCCAGCTCCCAGGAGGAAATGAAGATCATTTTACCCCACCCTCCATGGCCGCACATGAAGTAGTAATATATATAATCTTCATTCAAACAACAGGAAAAATGAGTGTTGCATCTTCAGTTAGGGCTAAGTCCGAAGCGACAACTGTTAGAGGGGCTGTGTAGATCCTAATTGTAGCACATATTCAGGGTTAGAAAAGACAACGTAGGGGGATGAGGAAATGATCCAGAGTCAGAGAAAGTGCTAAGCCCAAGCAAACAGAGTGTCCGGGTTACTCCCGCAGTGGCCAAGGCCCATTGACTCTCCAGTGATAGGACATTTTTTCCTTAAAAAAATCAGTTTGATTTTTTTGTTGCTTTTTCCAGATAAGGCCTTAGTTTGTAACCTCTAAACATCAACTATGCAGATAAACATACTATCTCTTTCTTTTCCACAACTTTTCTCTTTTTTTTCCATTCTTCAAATAATGAAATGTTAAGACTTCTACCCAAAGAAATAAGGCTAAAAGGTTTTGTTGAATGTTTGTTCCTCTAGGGAAAATTAACAGAAGCATAAAAATAGAGATGTGTTGTGTGTTCATCTATGTTAAAATGTGAACTTTATATTAAAAAACTTAAGTGCAGATCCTTTCATTGGTGCAAACCTGTAGTTAGACTCATGGAATGTCTTCAGTTATGATAAAATCATCCCAGTGTTCAAGTCTGAAAAAGTTTTAGATTCTGTGGCACAGTGTTCAGGTTTATAGAGCTGAACAGATGGTCAGATTCTAATTAAAAATAGCTTTGAATATTAATGTTGAGTTCTTTCTTCATTTCCTTTAGTCTTCATTTTCTTCCTCTCCAGTCTCTAGTCTAAGCTCTTACTAACCATTTCATCAACCAGTTGCTACACTAGAATATCAGCTGCATATTGTTCAGAGTCTGGGAGGAAAGGCTGAACTGTCTTTCACCTCCTTTTCTCACTCACTCTCATCTATCCTGTATCCCCACTGAATCCAAAAGTGAAGAGACAGGCGTGTTCCAGGAGACCGACATCCTAGCACTGACTCAGACAGGGACTCAGGATTTAAATCAGACTGCCTTTGACTAACTTGATGTTAAATTACGTTTTGCTTAGATACTCCCAAAGTACCATTTGCTTGAAAGTAGCTATTTGTGTTCTTTACTTTCCTCATACTATAATACTTGTACTTCTCAGTCTTTCTTATATACTTCCATTTTATAGGGGTTGGTACTTAAATTTTAGACACTTTACCGAACTGTTACCCAAACAGGTCAAAAATACGTTCAGAAATCTCAGTAGTGTAATTAAGGGGTCTCTGTGTTCAGGACTTAGAACCGTCACTGGTGACCAGAGTTTTTTTCTCTTTTTCATACTAAAAAGTAGATTATATATTGTGTAGTAGGTGTATTTCATGGCTTCCTCTTAATACTTTCCTAGGTTATTCAAAAGAGATACAGACCTTTATTAGGGACTCTTATCTCTGATAAAAGTCTGCCTTGCTTATTTTCATACTTCCCTTGGGATAAACCTACTTTGCAAAGGTCATATGAATCCTTAGTACCGATTTTATGTTCTTCAGAAAACTCTACATTTTTTGCTCCCTTTTTACTAATAATATAATTCTATTTTATCTTAAATCTAGTTTTAAAATATTCTATAATAGATAACTAATGGAAACCTAATTGAAATACAAGCAAGAGGGCTTAGAAATACAAACCCAGGATAACTGGGAAATCCTTCTGGTTCTGAAGTTCACAACTTCACCTACCTTCTAAGCACATTCAAGAGTTGGCAGTAACCAAGACCATCCAGTGGCATGTTTTTCCTATGGGAGAGCCTACCCTTAATTTGTGAGATCCTAGCTTGTATTTCCTGCCCTTGCGTTTGTAAACTTTCCTCCTTTTTAACTTATCTCTTCAGTTTGCAGGGGTACCTTGTCCTTTGCCAACAGATTGGGTTTTCTTTCCTGAACCTACAAAATTACCAATGATTATCCCAATTTTGGCTAGAGGCATTAAAAGAGAAAGAAGTTATTCTCGGTTGACAAAGGTATTACTATTTTATATAGTTAGCTGGAAGGTTGGCCAGCTTGGCCAACTTTTTAAATCCTGGCTATGCTTACATAATTAATTACATATTCCTTCTGATAAGCAAATGGCTCTTCCCCCAGTAGAGGTAGTAGGTTCTCAATCTGCCTGTGATCCAGGGAAAGGATTGAAGCTTTGCACTGTGCTTTTGTTGACTAACATTGAAAAATACTACAAAAAAAAATCAAACTGTTCTTGAGAAGGGTGTGTGAATCTGGGAATTCCCTTTGTGTTTTGCTTGCTAAAACATGCACGCTTAAAAGAAGAGGAGAATTAATCTCTGACTGGTAAAAATATGCACCCCAAATAATGTTAATCAAAGTCTGCCAAGGTAACTAAATCATGGGTGTTTTCTCTCTTTTATCACAAGCAAGAAAGTTTATTTGTAGATGTAAAAATGATGGGACTCTTTGCAGATCTCTTTGCTGTAACTGATTGGAAATAGGATTCTGATTTTTAATCTAGGTAAGCACATATGTCCAACCCTTATGATATGAATTTTGGTAAGGGAAAGACTTTTGTTTGGTAACAGAAGGTAAAACAGAACTTATTTATACAGTGAAGGTTCGCTCTGTAGAGGAACTTCCCTCCAGCTACACATCTCCTATTACCTTCGCCACCTCCTCACTTGATGGTAGATGCCAGCGAGTTTCACAACCAGTCTTAAAAGGAAGGAGCCTAAGTAATTGCTGCTCCTCTGGGTGAAAGGCACTGATTACTGTATTGCATTTGTTTATAGGGAGGTGTGTTTTTGCTAACTTGAAGGGATAATACTGTATCTTAAATAAGTGTGTGACTTAATATTTTGGGAATTTTTTCTCCTTTAAAAACTGGACCTGAACACAGCTTTGAGTTGATATTTGTAATAATCTCAGGACCTGAAAGATTGTAGCATTTAGTGTGTCTTAAAAATTATGTACTGTACCAGCCATGGATTTTTGTAAATATTCCTGTCTCCCTTTTTTGTATTATTTTAGTAAAAAAATAATAATAATAAATTTAAATAAAAGGGGGTGGTGATGACATGTGAATGGGTGTGGGTACGTGTGTGTGTGTGTTTGTATAAGGCTCTTTGAGACGAACTGGTGCTTGTTTAATTTCCGGCTCTAATCAGAGCAGGAATATGGACAAACTGCTGCTACTCAACCCTGCACTGAGCCTCAGTATCTCCATTGTGTCTTTCCCAGTGGTTGGTTAAGTACTGGCTCCCAGGAAGCGACTCAGAAGTTGGATTCTTCTTCCTACTGCCATCTTGCCTTGGCGCTCTCAGCTCCAAACACCCTCTGAACCTTAATGGTAAAACTTTCCAAACTTTGGGTGGTTTGCTGGTCTCTAGTTTTCAGAGAACTCTTGTCGCTATTTTCTAAGAAGAGAAAAGGGCAGGTAAATTTTTTTAATCAAGAAACAAAAACAAAAATACACATTTCATAAAATCCTGCTGAATTTTGAATATGTGAGAAGGCTTATCAAACATTCCTAAGTATGGATCTGTGAATTGAGTGAATTCACCCCATGGATGTACTGCTTCAGTGCAGGGATTTCTTTTTCCTCGCAACAGCCTTGCTCATATTCCAGGTGTAGCTAGCAAACCCCTGTTTTAAAGCAGGAGCCTTATTTGACTCAAAATAGATGTTTCCTGTCTCTCCTTTGTGACAGGGCCTTTTACATGAGTGCTTTTTTTTTTTTTTTTTGTATGTGTTACGTGTTTGTTGTATTAAATAAAGAGGAATGTACATATTATTCTCGTGTCTGTTGTATTATTGGACTAACTTAGATTTTAAGAGGGGTGTCTGTTGTCTGTATCGCTCTGTGCTTGGCCCTACGTGATACAGAAGAGCACGGTGCAGTCCCCATCCTTAACGTATTCACAGTTTGCCATCACATGGCAGGGTAAGAAAAGAGCAATCCCAAAATTCGCCATCACGGTGTGACCTCTGTGGGGAGAAATTGGACTGCAGCAACCTGGGAAGATTTTATCAAGTGGGTGGCACTTGAGCTGGGCCTTCATGGATGGGGGTAGGGATTTGAGCAGGAAAAGGGAATTTCCTGAGCAGATCAAGAGGAGCAGGAAGTAGACCCGACTGCTGTGGAGTATAGTCAGGATTAGTAGAAGCGAGATCGTGGGAGGCCCGAATGCACGCTCACCAGGTCCTTCCTTGGGCTTGGAGGATGTGTTTGTGTCTGCGGGTGAGCCTGGAGTCAAGACGTGTTGATGTGGGGAGAAGCTGCCAGAGTGATCATCTTTTAAAGCCTCACTTGTACAGGACTTCTAGGAAAGGAATTAAGAGAAAAGGGCAGCAAGATAGTTCAACCTTGGAAATGCAGGTGGGCAGTGGGGAAAGGATGAAAAGATAGAGAACAATTTGTCATTTACAAGCATAGATAGACATACAAAGTGTAGAAAATGACTTAACCCCAAATTATAAAGAGGGGTACTGTGAGCTTTTTCTTGTTTTCCCTTTTACCTGAGTGTATTTTCAATGCACTGTCATTAAGATGGAGAATTTTTTTTTTTTTTTAATGTGGGGAGGGGGATAGGTTGCAAGTGCTTTTACTAAAAACATTTAAGGATGGTTTTGCAAAATTGTGTTCTTGGGAGCAGTAGCCCCTCAAGAAATCTCTGGCTAAGTAACTCCACTGAACTGCGTCTGCACTGTCTTGAGAAGTGTGCTCACATCGGGGAGGGGTCATTGTTAAGCTTTGCGTAAAGCCTGTGATTTCCCCACTTACTTGGCTGTGGACCACTTGTCTTGTAACCACAATTAACATTGTTACAAAGGGCACACACATAAAAACAACACAAGGCATAGTTAAGAAGCACTATGTACCAATCACACTAACTTTTATTGCT